CTAAAGTCCATGTGTCGTACGCCCCGTCATACCCCCCCCCCACCCCCCTCCCCCCGTCACCCTACTTCACACATCAGCTTCACCTCCATATTAAAACAGCCCGAGATACTTTGAAAAACTCAATCGCAGAGTTAGACAAAGCATAATTCATGTTATAGCCATACATTCTCTCAGCCATTTGGCTACCGTTCCACACCCCTATATGCTATAGCTGTTGATAACACTTCGCCACAGCCATAACTTGTACCATTTCCCACAGCTATAACATACCATTTCCCACAGCCATAACTTGTACCATTTCACGCAGCCATAACATGCCATTTCACACAGCCATAACATACCATTTCCCACAGCCATAACTTGTACCATTTCACGCAGCCATAACATGCCGTTTCCCATTTACCACAGCCATAACATACCATTTCCCGCAGCCATAACATACCATTCCCCACAGCCATAACATACCATTTCCCACAGCCATAACATACCATTTCCCACAGCCATAACATACCATTTCCCACAGCCATAACATACCATTTCCCACAGCCATAACATACTATTTCCCACAGCCATAACTTGTACCATTTCACGCAGTCATAACATGCCGTTTCCCATTTCCCACAGCCATAACATACCATTTCCCGCAGCCATAACATACCATTCCCCACAGCCATAACATACCATTTCCCAGAGCCATAACATACCATTTCCCACAGCCATAACATACCATTTCCCACAGCCATAACTTGTACCATTTCCCAGAGCCATAACATACCATTCCCCACAGCCATAACATACCATTTCCCACAGCCATAACTTGTACCATTTCCCAGAGCCATAACATACCATTCCCCACAGCCATAACTTGTACCATTCCCCACAGCCATAAGATACCATTTCCCACAGCCATAACTTGTACCATTCCCCACAGCCATAACATACCATTCCCCACAGCCATAACATACCATTTCCCACAGCCATAACATACCATTTCCCAAAGCCATGCCTACCTTAGCCTAGTGAGGAACACGAATGTTTGCCTGCACCCTGCTACCCATCCATCATGTTCCGCTAATAGAGTTTTCGTCTCACAAGAAGGGCCCACGCCCGACCCTGCAACAATTCGATTAGCAGTTTAACTTCTCTTCAATTGCCTTCATTCAGCGAGCATAGCATAGAGATGCCTCAATACACGAGGATAAGCTTGATAAACCTATACAATTATACGAGCAATCTAATTTGATCGTTTTTCTGTATCATATATATATATATATATATATATATATATATATATATATATATATATATATATATATATATATATATATATATATATATATATATATAATGCAATTATTCGTCGTTTGTTTCGCTCCAGTTGTAAAAATAGTTTTTATTTAAAGAGTTATCCTATCATATCTTAGGTCATATGTTACGGCGATGCCGATTGAAAAGCTGTCATTTTTTAAAATAGTTCTGATAGTTTAATGTTACATGTGAATGAATATGTTAGTGGTGTGTTGAATAATGGAGCCCTTCTAGTTGGTTCTATTCTATTTGTTGTTAGATAAAAATGTCACGGAATATGTTGGTGGTGTGTTGAATCATGGAGCCCTTCTAGTTGGTGCTATTCTATTTGTTGTTGAATAAACTGTGAAGTAAACAAACCCACGGCTGGCACTACGTCTCTACCTTGTCTGAAACATGTGTTGTCACGTGATACCCATAACACGAGCTACCTTTGAGCCGTCATGTTTTACTGCTTTAATTCTAAGACAAACAACGTTTGGTGGCGCAGGTCATAACAGTCGTCTTGATGCTTTGAAATCTTCTGTAGTCGATTCTATGTTGGCGCTCGTCATGTCTTGATGCTTTGAAATCTTCTGTAGTCATGCTTTAAAATAAGCCTGTGTTTAGAGCTAGTGACTGTATATGGCTGGGGTAAGACTTTGGTCTGACCCAGCAATTGCTGATGACCGGTAACTTTAGTCCTGTAAGTAGCCTGAGTCAGTGGTCTCCTCCACCTGATTTTGTCTGACCCAGCAGTTTCTGATGACCCAAGTTCTGTAAGTAGCCTGAGTCAGTGAACTCCTCCACCTAGTTTTGTCTGACCCAGCAGTTTCTGATGACCCAAGTTCTGTAAGTAGCCTGAGTCAGTGGTCTCCTCCACCTGATTTTGTCTGACCCAGCAGTTTCTGATGACCCAAGTTCTGTAAGTAGCCTGAGTCAGTGGTCTCATCCACCTAGTTTAGTCTGACCCAGCAGTTTCTGATGACCGGTAACTTATTAAGTTCTGTAAGTAGCCTGAGTCAGTGGTCTCATCCACCTAGTTTAGTCTGACCCAGCAGTTTCTGATGACCGGTAACTTATTAAGTTCTGTAAGTAGCCTGAGTCAGTGGTCTCATCCACCTAGTTTAGTCTGACCCAGCAGTTTCTGGCTGTCCTTCAGAATCTCACACGTGATGTTAAACATTTCAAGCTTGTATGTTAGATGGATCAGCCGACATCCATGTATGACACATCAAACTTAGTTGCATTAGGATCATTCACGCGTGACGACTGCTGGAATTTGGGGGTGGGGGAGGGGGTTGGGTTGTATCAAACAGCGCAATTGATTTAATTGCGGTTTCATGTTTTTTTTTTTTTAAGACGAGCTCGGTGAAAAAAGCCAAATTTAAAATTGTCATGTTAATTAAGTACACCCCGCCAGCCCCAATATGATGCCTATTTTTGTGGCCAGCGGCGGCTTTTTAAATATGTTTACTCTAGCAATTATTGAATTCATGCGCCAGCTATAATCACATTACTGTCTTTAGACGGGGGGGGGGGGCGCTATTACAGAGTTGATGGGTGGTCGGACTTATGACGTGTGTAGGGGGGAGGGGAATAGACGCTGCTAAAATAGTCTGATATTATTTCATATGCCACCCCCTCCTCCCCAAGCAAGTTGATCTAAAGCTTGTCCCTATTCCCTACACGTCATGACATCGTGTTCTTGTCTACGTCATCTATGAAGTGTATGTTTCCAGTGGAGTTAAAAGTATAGGACTGTAGTTTTAAAAGTTGACGGTATAAGCATCAACTGCTGTTTCCAGTGGAGTTTAAAGTATAGGACTCTAGTTTTAAAAGTTGACGGTATAAGCACATGCCGCTATATTTCCAGTGAAGTTAAAAGTATAGGACTGTAGTTTTAAAAGTTGACGGTATAAGCACATGTCGCTATGTTTCCAGTGGAGTTAAAAGTATAGGACTGTAGTTTTAAAAGTTGACGGTATAAGCATCAACTGCTGTTTTCAGTGGAGTTTAAAGTGTAGGACTGTAGTTTTAAAAGTTGACGGTATAAGCACATGCCGCTGTCTTGAAGTCTGTCAGATGGTAGAATGCTACCACGATCAGGGAGGAACCCAACCTTACCTTGCCGAGTGACCCAGCTAGTGCTGGTAGCAGGGAGTCTCATCCAATCTCTCTGCCAGCTCTCAGCCGTCGTCTTAAATCTTGTCGGATGTAAACAATGCCGGGGTACAAACACACCCGTGGGGTGTTGATTAGCTGCAGGCCGTGGCGTGGGGGACATGCTCGTTAGCTAACCTAATTAGTCGAGCTTCTCTCGGGGCTGCACTCATTTATTTCAAACATTTCTACGGCGGCCATTGCACATTCCTGACCAACAGTTTTTTGCATGTCTTTACCTACTCATTCCCTGATACCTCGCCCCACATACTTTCATTACTGAAGAGCGTCTGCCATTTGTTAGAACTGAAATTGAACACAACATAGAAAGGGCTAATTTGTTATCTAATAGTATTGAACATACCCCTATGGTACAGAATATACCCCTATAGTACTGAACATACCCCTATAGTACTTAACATACCCCACACAGTACTAACAGACCCCAGCAGTACTTAACATCACCCCATAGTACTGAACGGTACCCAGCACCTCATCATAGAACCAAGCACCCCCCCCCCCCCTACATGATACTAAACACACCCCGCGGTTGGTACGAGGCAGCAGTGAATAAAGCCAGATGTGACTGTCCTGAGACAACACTCAAACGTCTGATGCGCTGTACCGTGGGTGTAGACATTAAGGGTAACCCTGTGGTGACAACAGCTGTCAACTAGCAGAAGACAAGACTTAACTGACTGTACAGTAACCCCCCCCCCCCCAGTGACAACAGCTGTCAACTAGCAGAAGACATGACTTAACTGACTGTACAATAACCCCCCCCCACCTTCTGGTGATAACAGCTGTCGACCAGCAGAAGACAAGACTTAACTGACTGTACTAAGTTTCGGCGGATCCCCAACAGATAAGGAAATCCAGTGGCTTAGCTCTGTCCCGGACTTGTCCATAGCCGTGGTATAGCTGCACGTGACGTTAAGACACTGAGATACTGGCCTTTACAGCGTGACGCCATTGGGGTTGTATAGGTACCACATGGGGAAAACTTGATACGAAGCATAGCGGCCTGCGGGAATTACCAAATACTAAAGATAGCACCCCGCCCAACGCTTAAGCAGGAAAATAACAAAAGAAGGGAAATATCCCTTCAGAAACTTCTAAAGCTACAGATCTGTCCTTTCTTAATCCACTAATAACGTGGCCTGCTTATGACTAAACCCAATAAATAAACAACTAAAACTAACATGAGCGCTGTATACCAATAGAAGAATAAAGGAATCTTGGCTACATTAGACCCACAGTCTTGTAGAGAAAAACTCTATCATACACAGGCCGACAGTCGTTTTTGTATTCTTCATTCACAACTCCATAAACACACGTCCACACTGGCTTCTGTCCACTAAGTCCTCTCACTAATCCCACTAACCAGTGTTCACTTGTCTTTTATAGCTAGATTTGATCTACAGAAAATATTACACGGGATAGACTCAAACCTTATTTTACCAGGGTCTCTAAACTTTTTGTTTTAACCATGTAACTGTGGCCTGTGAGTGAGTACCTCCAATAGCACGTGCAACCATTTCCCTCCCCAGGTGAGCGTGTACGTGGAGGACGAGAACGACAACCCTCCAGCCTTCTCCAGCACCATGTTTGACGCGAGCGTGTCGGAGAATGTCCCCGTCGGCAGCTCCGTTATGCGGGTCTCCGTCACTGACCCTGACACTGCTGGCACCCTGACTTTGGCCCTTAGCGGAACGGACGCTGGCAAGTTTAGGATCGTGCAGAATGGTGAGATCTTTCTTCTGGCTTGTCTTGTGTGATATTTGATAGGATTCTTCTAACTAGGTGCAGTGTAACGTGGCTGACATTCTCGATAGGATTCTTTTAACTAGGTGCAGTGTAACATGGCTAAGATTCTTGCCCAGATTTGTCATTAAGATATAGTTGAAGAACTCTGGTACTGTCTTCTAACGTATCTAGTCATCAGATCATGTGTTGGAACTGGTCTATATCAGTTGTATAAAATACTTCTCGTGTTACCATTATCTCGCTACATCTTTTGTTTCAGTAGAATTATATTATATTATTATTATATTCTTTGCTCTGTTTGTCTGAAGGTTGGGGGTCGTGTTAAAATACATTGAAACACAACTGACCAAAGCTAAACGAATGTCTGTTGTCTCAGGTACCATCTACCTGGTCCAGCAGCTGGACTATGAGACGGCCCGCTTCCACGACCTGGTGGTAGAAGCCAGCGACACCGTGTTCAGGACCACCGCCGCCATCCGCCTGAATGTGATCGACGAGAACGACAACACGCCGCGGTTCTCCCGCTCCTTCTACACGTTTGACATCGCCGAGGACAGCAAGCCGGGCTACACCGTCGGCACCGTCCTGGCCACAGACGCTGACTCTGGCAGCAACGGTCACGTCATCTACAGCGTCATCTCGGACTGGGGCAAGGAGTACTTCCTGCTGGACACCAGCCGGGGCACCTTTGTGTTGATACAGCCTGTGGACTTTGAGGAGGTCAGTTGTTAACAGGCTCACAGCTCTCTTACTATACTCTAGCTATCTACACCTACCTTAGTTCCATGTCTCATGTTGTTCCTTATTTTCCCTACATATCCCATGTTCTTCCTTATGTTCCATGTTCCCTGTGTGCATCATGTTGTTCCTTATGTTCCATGTTCCCTATGTGTCCCATGTTGTTCCTTATGTTCCATGTTCCCTATGTGTCCCATGTTGTTCCTTATGTTCCATGTTCCCTACATGTCTCATGTTGTTCCTTATGTTCCATGTTCCCTGTGTGCATCATGTTGTTCCTTATGTTCCATGTTCCCTATGTGTCCCATGTTGTTCCTTATGTTCCATGTTCCCTATGTGTCCCATGTTGTTCCTTATGTTCTATGTTCCCTATGTGTCCCATGTTGTTCCTTATGTTCCATGTTCCCTACATGTCTCATGTTGTTCCTTATGTTCCATGTTCCCTGTGTGCATCATGTTGTTCCTTATGTTCCATGTTCCCTATGTGTCCCATGTTGTTCCTTATGTTCCATGTTCCCTATGTGTCCCATGTTGTTCCTTATGTTCCATGTTCCCTATGTGTCCCATGTTGTTCCTTATGTTCCATGTTCCCTACATGTCTCATGTTGTTCCTTATGTTCCATGTTCCCTATGTGTCCCATGTTGTTCCTTATGTTCCATGTTCCCTACAGGTCTCATGTTGTTCCTTATGTTCCCTACATGTCCCATGTTGTTCCTATGTTCCTTGTTCCCTATGTGCCCTAAATGAGTCCCTATATTACAACACACATATAGGACTGTCACCAATCCTCGTATGTATGTTTTTGTCAATTAGCGACAGACGTAATCTGTTTCAAAACAACGACGCACATGTACACTAGTTATCACATTGTTAACAGGATCTAATCATTTTTAGGATGACATATGTAGGAGCTAATTAGCTTCTGATTAATGACTTTTTAAAAAAAATACCCCACCTTCTGACATGAATGTCAATGTGTTATAAATGGATGTGTTAAAGAGAAGGATTGTAGTCAACATACTATGTGCCATCAGGGGGATGTGTTATAAATGGATGTGTTATATAGCTACGTCATTTTACTGCAAGACCAATATGACGGAGGAACTACATGGTAGACCAAAGACCTACATGATAGACTAAAGACCTTTGTTATAAACGAAGTCCTACACACCTCTTTGAAGTTAAGACGAACCAAATACAAACCCTTCTTATCGCGGACTAACTAAAAAATCCAATAACTTTGTTTTCACGGTCGTGAGATCAATGGACGAGTCAGTTGATAGGGCTTGAAGTGTTTGATTGATGGCAGGTACACAATCCAAGCTTCACCTCAAAACATGCACCACTGTACCACAAGACTTGTACCACTTTACCTCAAAACATGCACCACTTTACCTCAAAACATGCACCACTTTACTACAAGACATGCACCACTTTACCAAAAGACATGTACCATTTACCACAAGACATACACAGCATGCACCACTGGCCAGTCTGATGAAGCACAAGCCACCGATCGACAGGTGATCAATCATATTGGTGGTACCTGACAGGTGCTCGCTCATTAAGTCAGAATCAAACGTGAGATATAACAGGCTGACATCTATACAGGGGGACCGTTCACTGCTCGTGTCTAGAGATGGATCGTTCTGTCAGGGCCTTGTACTACTACACACTGACACAAAGTTAGGTGAACCTGACACACAGATGAACCTGACACACACACTACACACACACTCATGGATCATGCTGTCAGGGCCTTGTACTACTACACACTGACACACAGTAAGGTGAACCTGACACACACTACACACGGGGTGTGGTCAGGGGAACTTGACACACAGACACACACTCCACATACACACACACTCATGGATCGTGCTGTCAGGGCCTTGTAAAACTACACACTGACACACAGTTAGGTGAACCTGACACACAGGTGAACCTGACACACAGGTGAACCTGACACACAGATGAACCTGACACACAGATGAACCTGACACACACAGGTGAACCTGACACACCCACTACACATGGGGTGTGGTCATGGGAACTTGACACACAGACACACACTACACATTTAAGGCTAGTGGTTAAGTTAGTTAACTGCTAGTGGTTGAGTTGGTTAACTGCCACTGGTTAAGTTGGTTAACTGCCACTGGTTAAGTTGGTTAACTGCCACTGGTTAAGTTGGTTAACTGCCACTGGTTAAGTTGGTTAACTGCCACTGGTTAAGTTGGTTAACTGGTTAAATGTGTAAAATGCCTTGTTTCTCTCCCCCAGCGCCAGCTGTACACGCTAAAGGTCATGGCCAGAGACGAAGGGTCCCAACCCCGGTCCACCGAGGTCATAGTGTACATGAATGTCAAGGACGTGAACGACAACCAGCCAGAGTTTGACCCCATGTCCTACTTTATTGAACTGTCCGAGGATGCTCCGGTGGGGAGCAGGGTGGTCAACGTTAGCGCTACTGATGTCGATTCTGGTGAGTTTCACCTGCGTGATTGTGGGATTGATTGTGGTCTGAGCTGTAATCAATGGCGTCACTTGGGAGTGGGAGTGTGGTCCGCACCGGTAACACTGTTTAGGGGAGGACACCACAACGTAAAACGTAAAATTTACTGTCAAAATAATATCACAACTGTAGGGGGAAGAGGGGTGAAAACAAACCGAACAAGTACAATTGTGCGAGGGCGGTGGGATAAATTTCCTACTCCACACTAGTTTCTAGTGTCTTTGGTTTTAGTACAATAATCTTCCCTCTGTCTCGTCTATAGCTAGGCTCCGATAATCTTACCTCTGTCATAGCAATAGCTAGGCTCGAATAATCTCTGTCTCAGTTTTAGCTTGGCTCCGATAATCTCTCTGTCTCATCTATAGCCAGGCTCCGATAATCTCTGTCTCAGTTTTAGCTAGGCTCCGATAATCTTCCCTCACATAACAGCCTCTATGGTTGACTGGCATTTAACTCAAGTTCTGTATCGACTGGTGCCCTGCATAATGACCGTCTGTGCCAGACCTTGCCTAACATCCATCTTGCCTCTACTAGCCATTGTCCAGCCACTAGCCAGGACCATCTATAACATCCATCTTGTCTCTACTGGCCATTGTCCAGTCACTATCCAGGACCATCTATAACTTCCATCTTGCCTCCAATACTCTTGACCCAAAAGACTCTCCAATAGCCAGTACTTAGTGGTGTAGAAGAAAGTCCATTGTTGTTTGTGACACTGACTTTAGGTGTGGATGTATGATATTTGACAGCTAGGCCTGTTCTCCCCCCCCCCCCCCCATATTATCTTTACTAGCAGCAGAAAGTACGTTCACCGCTAATTGCGTCCAGCTACGTGTCCTGCCCGCGCCTCTACTCCGTACATCGCACAACGCTGGGTGCACCGTATAGCGCTCGATGCACCGTATAGCGCTCGATGCAGCGTATAGCGCTCGATGCAGCGTATAGCGCTTGATGTACCGTATAGCGCTCGATGCACTGTATAGCGCTTGATGCACCGTATAGCGCTCGATGCACCGTATAACGCTCGATGCACCGTATAACGTCGTGGCGCCGCTACACTGCTATCTCCAGCAGGGCTTTAAATCCAGCCAACAGACACGCGCGGACGTAGCTCTCGATCTTGATTCAACAAGCTATAAAACAACACTTACTGCTATCTCAGTCTTACGTGGAGGACTTCATACCGGAAGTAGACATATTTTTAGTGGGAGTTGGTAGACTCGCCGTCTCCATAGCTTTCACAGACTCTACTTAGTCTTCCAAGTGTCTGCTATGACTCCACTGTCTCAGATTCCAGAGTCTGTCTCAGACTTTATAGTACGTCTTAGACTCTTGAGTGTGTCCCATAGACCATACCGTGAACGTCTGATGCCTCAGTTAGTGTAAAGGCCTCTATGATTTGAGTTAAATATTGTGTATTGTATTGACCAAAGAAGCCATTGACTATTTTAATTGGATGCATCGTCTTCTGGCCGGACGTTTCTCCCGCTGGGGATAAGCTTTTAATAATTGAGCGTTTCAAATTAATGATCGATACTTTGTTCAATAATAATAATCCGTCTCAAGAATTAAATTATCCAACTAATTGGAGCTGTTCCGTGTGTAGGGCCGTAACATAAGCGGCTTAAGGCTGGTGACACGATCGGTAGAAAGGCTAGCCAAACATTCGACAGCAAGTCTTAGAGTATCGCGCAATACTTCCCTTCACTGCTAGTTAGATAGTATGGTGCAACGCTACACTAGTTAATTTAGAGAGTATAGTCTTAGTGTAGTGTTAAAAGTATGCTATGATGTTCTTGTTTAAGTCTTGTTATTGTCTGTCATCATGTTTCATCATCTTTTGTCGTCGTGCCCAAAAAACACGGGGTAGAAAAAGTTATCTGGCCCTGGCATACGAGAGATAGTGTGGTCAGTTTCCCCATAAGTCAGGCACCCATCACAGCTGAGTGTGCTCAGGGGCGTCCTACGGATTCGACCTCGGGACCCGATCTCGAGACTTTAGTAAACTCTACCATTCGACCACGCCGTCACCACTGTCGTAATGTTTACTGTAATTAATTACTAGTATTTTATAAAAACATCAACAGTTGAAACAATTTTCCCCTCTGAACTAAGAACTGTAACATTACCCACTGAACTAAGAACTGTAACATTTTCCCACTGAACTAAGAACTGTAACCCTTGTGGCGCTAGTGCGCTAGCATCAATAAAATGCCAGACGTAGCGAACTATCGACTACAGCCAACACTCAAGATGTTGTAAAAACGCAACATTAGAATAAGAATCAAAGAATGGTCAGTATGGCCCATTGATCAAGATATAGTAAAAACACTTGAAGCCCGTAGACTGACCGGTATCAACTAGTACTTTAGTATTTACACATTTCGCATTCCACCTCGATTGTTGTTTATGTATAAACATACAACAAGTTGCCGTGTTTGATAAATAAACACGCTATACACGCTATCTTTAAAGTGTTTTTTAAGAAATCACACTTTTATTATTAAAATGAAAACAATATTTTTATTGCATCGGGACATTCTCGTGCAGATGGGATTTAAAAAAACAAATTTCCAGCAGTTGGAGGTTCAAATCGAATGTCGCAGCGATGAATATTTGATGACACGGGCTATATGGTTATTAGTTTTTGAAAGACAAAAATTGCGTCATATCGTTTAAAATATTTTTTGTCACCTTTCCCCCTCTCGCACATATAATAGATCAATAAAACAACAATTTTTGCCTTCCCCCTAAGTGTACGAACAAAAAAACTACTGCAGGGACTGACATTGAGGTTTTGGACAATCCAAACTGGTTTTTAAAACTTTAACACAAGTGCTTGTTTTCCCATTGTTTTTTACATTGGCAAGTGTCGAATGATTCAATCTAGAGTGTGGTCGCTACTGGTGTATTACATAGGTTTAACAATGGTCTAATGCGTGGACTGAAATGCCACATTATGCTGCTAAGTATTAGCTAATGTCTGTGTCGCTGTTTAACTTCAAAAATAAAGTTTGTACAAGAACTAGAAGATATTATGGGATATTATGTCAAGTAATTCAGTACTTGGTACAGTTTTCACATCATGGGATATTATGTCAAGTAATTCAGTATTTGGCACAGTTTTCACATCATGGGATATTATGTCAAGGAATTCAGCACTTGGCACAGTTTTCACACCATGGAATATTATGTCAAGGAATTCAGTACTTGGCACAGTTTTCACATCGCGACTCATCACTATACACTGCTGTAAGCATTGGGTACTTAAGAGACATTACACCGTTTCTATTTATAACTTCAATCGGGAATAACTTAACGTAGGTTTAAGTTGACCTTCGTGGAATTTGTAACGAGAAACACTTGTGTCAACTCCGTTTTGAACACCTGGACAGTAGTGAACCTATCGGCCTTGTGGAGCCAGCAGTAGTGAACCTATCGGCCTTGTGGAGCCAGCAGTAGTGAACCTATCGGCCTTGTGGAGCCAGCAGTAGTGAACCTATCGGCCTTGTGGAGCCAGCAGTAGTGAACCTATCGGCCTTGTGGAGCCAGCAGTAGTGAACCTATCGGCCTTGTGGAGCCAGCAGTAGTGAACCTATCGGCCTTGTGGAGCCAGCAGTAGTGAACCTATCGGCCTTGTGGAGCCAGCAGTAGTGAACCTATCGGCCTTGTGGAGCCAGCAGTAGTGAACCTATCGGCCTTGTGGAGCCAGCAGTAGTGAACCTATCGGCCTTGTGGAGCCAGCAGTAGTGAACCTATCGGCCTTGTGGAGCCAGCAGTAGTGAACCTATCGGCCGTGTGGAGCCAGCAGTAGTGAACCTATCGGCCTTGTGGAGCCAGCAGTAGTGAACCTATCGGCCTTGTGGAGCCAGCAGTAGTGAACCTATCGGCCTTGTGGAGCCAGCAGTAGTGAACCTATCGGCCTTGTGGAGCCAGCAGTAGTGAACCTATCGGCCTTGTGGAGCCAGCAGTAGTGAACCTATCGGCCTTGTGGAGCCAGCAGTAGTGAACCTATCGGCCTTGTGGAGCCAGCAGTAGTGAACCTATCGGCCTTGTGGAGCCAGCAGTAGTGAACCTATCGGCCTTGTGGAGCCAGCAGTAGTGAACCTATCGGCCTTGTGGAGCCAGCAGTAGTGAACCTATCGGCCTTGTGGAGCCAGCAGTAGTGAACCTATCGGCCTTGTGGAGCCAGCAGTAATGAACCTATCGGCCTTGTGGAGCCAGCAGTAGTGAACCTATCGGCCTTGTGGAGCCAGCAGTAGTGAACCTATCGGCCTTGTGGAGCCAGCAGTAGTGAACCTATCGGCCTTGTGGAGCCAGCAGTAGTGAACCTATCGGCCTTGTGGAGCCAGCAGTAGTGAACCTATCGGCCTTGTGGAGCCAGCAGTAGTGAACCTATCGGCCTTGTGGAGCCAGCAGTAGTGAACCTATCGGCCTTGTGGAGCCAGCAGTAGTGAACCTATCGGCCGTGTGGAACCAGCAGTAGTGAACCTATCGGCCTTGTGGAGCCAGCAGTAGTGAACCTATCGGCCTTGTGGAGCCAGCAGTAGTGAACCTATCGGCCTTGTGGAGCCAGCAGTAGTGAACCTATCGGCCTTGTGGAGCCAGCAGTAGTGAACCTATCGGCCTTGTGGAGCCAGCAGTAGTGAACCTATCGGCCGTGTGGAACCAGCAGTAGTGAACCTATCGGCCTTGTGGAGCCAGCAGTAGTGAACCTATCGGCCTTGTGGAGCCAGCAGTAGTGAACCTATCGGCCTTGTGGAGCCAGCAGTAGTGAACCTATCGGCCTTGTGGAGCCAGCAGTAGTGAACCTATCGGCCTTGTGGAGCCAGCAGTAGTGAACCTATCGGCCTTGTGGAGCCAGCAGTAGTGAACCTATCGGCCGTGTGGAGCCAGCAGTAGTGAACCTATCGGCCTTGTGGAGCCAGCAGTAGTGAACCTATCGGCCTTGTGGAGCCAGCAGTAGTGAACCTATCGGCCTTGTGGAGCCAGCAGTAGTGAACCTATCGGCCGTGTGGAGCCAGCAGTAGTGAACCTATCGGCCTTGTGGAGCCAGCAGTAGTGAACCTATCGGCCTGATTGAGCCAGGAATTGAAGGGCTTGGTACGGGAATGTGTGTGAGCCTTACTGATCTGCCCGTGACAAGAACAGTTTCACTGTCTGTCATCGCTCGCCACAAGGATCACACATTGGCCACCTAACAACCGTGATCTCACATCGGGGCTAGCTTTCAACTCAACTGTTTTGTTGGAATATGAAGCTGACGGTGAAGGTCATCTACCCTATAAGTTGGTTGTATCGGCCCCCTGGTGAAGGTCATCTACCCTATAAGTTGGTTGTATCAGCCCCCTGGTGAAGGTCATCTACCCTATAAGTTGGTTGTATCAGCCCCCTGGTGAAGGTCATCTACCCTATAAGTTGGTTGTATCAGCCCCCTGGTGAAGGTCATCTACCCTATAAGTTGGTTGTATCAGCCCCCTGGTGAAGGTCATCTACCCTAGAAGTTGGTTGTTTCAGCCCCCCCCCCCTCTCACTCACTGTACCAGTCTTTGAACGGTAACACAAATTATTTCAACTTTCCACCACTACTTTTTTAAACTTGATTTTTTTAAACAGACGAACATAAACATTAAAAAAAAAACACAACTTTTAAAGGCTGGGGCCCGGCACTCGCGAGCTAAATCAGGAACATGCAAAACGAAATAATTTTCTCAATCCCTGCTTTAAACATCCTCCCATGCATTTCAGTTGGCTTTTTGGTTAGCGCGCCCCCTCCCCCTCTACCCCCATAAATATTGTTTTTAATTAAATGTGTGTTGGGGCAGGGCATTAGCACCGGCAGTGATTAGCCCTTAGAACCAGTGTGAGAGAATTTATTAGCCTATACATGTCAAGTGTGAAGCTCCGTCCCCGTCCCTGCCCAACTTTTAAAAAAACTTTATCCCAGAGTTCCGGCATGGGGAAACATGGTTTCATGCAGTTTTTTAGTCAACGGTCCAAATCATGGGCTAATTTAGGTTGTTTTTAGCAATGGGTACATGGGCTAACTCAGGTTTGTTTTTAGCACTAGGTAATATGAGCTAATTTAGGTTTTTTTTTACAATGGGTAATATCATGGGCTAAGTTTTTTGGGCTATCGATGATGTGGGCTAGTTTGGTTTTTTAGGCTATGGATAATGTGGGCTAGTTTTGTTTTTTGGGCTATGTATGAAATCATGGTCTAATCCAGATTTTTTGGGCGATGTCCGAAATGTTCTAATTCATGATTTTTGTTGTTGTTTTGTTTATTTGCCAATGCTTAAAATGCTTGGCTAATTCAATGTTAGTGCTTCCATTTAAGGTGTGTGATGTTTTATCCCCAGGCCTGAGTGGTGATGTCCGTTACAGTCTGGTGGGAGCCACCAACTTTGCCGTGGGTCCCCTCAACGGCAGCATCTACACGGTGGGACGGCTGGACAGGGAGGCGGTGCCAGTGTACAACGTCATCGTCATGGCAACCGACCAGGCGCCTGTGGTCAAGGATAGGTTATCCACCACAGCTACAGTAAGTCACTTACCCACGTCCACTACTCTAGGATAGGTTATCCACCACAGCTACAGTAAGTCACCCACGTCCACTACTCTAGGATAGGTTATCCACCACAGCTACAGTAAGTCACTTACCCACGTCCACTACTCTAGGATAGGTTATCCACCACAGCTACAGTAAGTCACTTACCCACGTCCACTACTCTAGGATAGGTTATCCACCACAGCTACAGTAAGTCACTTACCCACGTCCACTACTCTAGGATAGGTTATCCACCACAGCTACAGTAAGTCACTTACCCACGTCCACTACTCTAGGATAGGTTATCCACCACAGCTACAGTAAGTCACTTACCCACGTCCACTACTCTAGGATAGGTTATCCACCACAGCTACAGTAAGTCACTTACCCACGTCCACTACTCTAGGATAGGTTATCCACCACAGCTACAGTAAGTCACTTACCCACGTCCACTACTCTAGGATAGGTTATCCACCACAGCTACAGTAAGTCACTTACCCACGTCCACTACTCTAGGATAGGTTATCCACCACAGCTACAGTAAGTCACTTACCCACGTCCACTACTCTAGGATAGGTTATCCACCACAGCTACAGTAAGTCACTTACCCACGTCCACTACTCTAGGATAGGTTATCCACCACAGCTACAGTAAGTCACTTACCCACGTCCACTACTCTAGGATAGGTTATCCACCACAGCTACAGTAAGTCACTTACCCACGTCCACTACTCTAGGATAGGTTATCCACCACAGCTACAGTAAGTCACTTACCCACGTCCACTACTCTAGGATAGGTTATCCACCACAGCTACAGTAAGTCACTTACCCACGTCCACTACTCTAGGATAGGTTATCCACCACAGCTACAGTAAGTCACTTACCCACGTCCACTACTCTAGGATAGGTTATCCACCACAGCTACAGTAAGTCACTTACCCACGTCCACTACTCTAGGATAGGTTATCCACCACAGCTACAGTAAGTCACTTACCCACGTCCACTACTCTAGGATAGGTTATCCACCACAGCTACAGTAAGTCACTTACCCACGTCCACTACTCTAGGATAGGTTATCCACCACAGCTACAGTAAGTCACTTACCCACATCCACTGCTCTAGGATAGGTTATCCACCACAGCTACAGTAAGTCACTTACCCACGTCCACTACTCTAGGATAGGTTATCCACCACAGCTACAGTAAGTCACCTACCCACGTCCACTAGTTATGTAAACATTCAAATACTTGTAGATAGGTGTCATAACACCATCACCACCAAACTTGCATTGAAATACTTATAGACAGGTGACTTGAACACATTCTAATCAACACACTTGGTGACTCTCCTCTCTAATGTGTGCATGACCTCTTCTCCCCCCCCCCCCCCCCCCCCCCCAGGTGCAGGTGAAGTTGCGTGACGTCAACGACAACGCCCCCACCTTCCTGAGCCCAGCCACCACCGACATCAGGGAAGACGCCAAGGTCGGCTCGACCGTCTTCACCGTGTCGGTCAGCGACCTTGACGAAGGTGTCAACAGCAAGATCACCTTCAGACTGCTCTCACAAAGCACACCCGGCGTCTTCGCCATCGACCCCCAGTCCGGGTCTCTGGTGCTGCGGTCAGGTCTGGACCGTGAGACCATCTCCAACCACACGCTGGTCATTGAGGCCAAGGACGGCGGCACCGTCCCGCTGGCCACACAGCAGAGCCTGCTCATCCAGGTGACCGACGCCAACGACAACCCGCCCGTCTTCACACAGGCCCAGTACGTCAAGACCATCAACGAGGACATCGCTGTCGGCACCAGTGTTCTCCGTATCCTAGCAACAGACCGGGACATAGGTTTCAACGGCGCTGTCCGCTACTTCATCCTGAGCGGGGAGGGCAGCAACGACTTTAACCTGGACATGTCCAGCGGGGTGCTGCGCGTGAAGAAAGGCCTGGACTACGAGCGCCGGACCTCCTACACCATCCTGGTGCAGGCCGAGGACAGCTCGGTGGAGAACCGCCTGCAGGCCAACACCAGCATCGTCATCACGCTCGTCGACATCAACGACTTCGTCCCCGTGTTCGACGACTCGCCGTACGTCACCTACGTGCAGGAGGGCATGTCGGACGGTCCGGTGCCCATCATTACCATCACGGCCAGGGACGAGGACTCCGGCCTCAACGGTCAGCTGGATTACTCACTGCGTGGCATCACCAGCGACTACCAGATGTTCGGGGTCAACTCGACCACTGGCCAGGTCTACGTGACGGTCAGTCTGGACAGGGAGAATGTCCCCATGTACGTGCTGGCGGTGGTGGCCATGGATAGGGGTAAGTTGTTTTTTTATACACCAGACCACATTTTTTATGGCTCATTCTTTTATGGCGGGGAGAGGCCATCATTGATTAGGATTGGCAGAACATCATTAATTAGCGTCAGTGGAATATTATTAATTAGAAGATCTCATTAATTAGGAAAATGGAGATGTCTTGATAAAGTTTGTTTATATGAAGGGCGGGTTGTATTGTATCTGAGCTGGGAGCTCACAGCTCTAATAAGGCTGGAAACTAATTCATTCTGTCTGGCGCCGTGCTTTCAGCTCCACGCTCTTGTACGCTCCTCTCTTCTTCCTGCCCCTACATGTTTGTACACGTTATTTCTTTAGAGGACGTCAAACTATATTACCGTTAATTTAAGTGGGAACACAACACCCAATCACACACTAGAATATTAATATAAGAAACAATCTCAACAAACACCAACACATACCACATCCTCCATACTACACCCAGTCCACCACAACTACTGCCCACCACCCACACAGCAAAACACCACCAGTCATTACACCATCCACCCCACCACCCACGACAGACACCCTATCGCCCCACCACCCACCAACAAACACCCTAACACCCCACCACACACCAACAAACACCTTAACACCCCAGCACCCACGACAGCCCCCCCCCCCCCTTGTGCCTATTTGTGCCATAAGATTGAGATAGTGAGCCCCATGCGTCAGATGCCCCCCCCCCCCACCCATTGTGTCTATTTGTGCCATAAGATTGAGATAGTGAGCCCCTTGCGTCAGATGTTTACGGCACTGGGCTCTAGAAGAGATAATCAGTTTTCTCAACTCTACAACAGAATTAGCTGGAGAACACAAGACGCGCATTTGTTGTCCTTAGCAGGCTCAAGGGGTAAACACGTTTCCTGACACTGGGGGAGTGCTGGAGCCTGGGACATGGGGGGGGGGGGGGGAGGGGGGGAAGAGAGAAGATGAATATTGAAACACGGTGAGGGGTGGATCCTGGGACACTAGGGCAGTAGTGGATCATAGGACAGGGGGGGTGGATCCCGGGATAGAGAGTGAGTGGGAGGGAATCCCGGGACACGGGACGAAATAATCTAGCACATACAGTTATTTAGATTACATAAGCTCGAACAAAGACCCTGCTAACTAGATCATGGACTTGTTAACCGATAATGGATACACCTAACAAGGATATTTAATGGATACACCTAACAAGGATATTTAGATACAGGAAGTTGTTTTTTTCCTTAAATCTGTAACTTTAAAGTTAGTGATTGAAACTTAGTGATTGGAAGCTAAAGTTAGTGATTGGAAAAGTTAGTGATTGGAAGCTAAAGTTAGTGATTGAAACCTAAAGCTAATGATTGGAGGCTAAAGTTAGTGATTGAAACCTAAAGCTAATGATTGGAAGCTAAAGTTAGTTATTGAAACCTAAAGCTAATGTTTGGAAGCTAAAGTTAGTTATTGGAACCTAAAGCTAACGATTGGAAGCTAAATTTAGTGATTGAATTTTTTTCTCTCAGTTGACACAGACGAAAGTAAGAAAAAAAAAACGACGCTCTAATAAAATGCAAGCATTTTTCCCTCTCCGAGAACCTGCAATAAACGTGTAGACCTCAGACACGGCTGTAAATACGTCACTAGGTGCGACATTTACAGGCAAATGGTGGTGTGGTCATGGACAAACTTGGGTCACTTGGGGCCAGTCGTCATTACTAGACGCTAGTTACCTCGTGTTTATGGACCCACTCTCTAGAATGGTGCCCTCAGTCCATAACCGCCCTGCTGATGTTACATCAGGGACTGGGATCAAAACCATACCAGAGCTATAAACAAACGTCACACGAGGGACGCGCTATCCTTATGTGACCTGTATATGGGGAGGTTGGTTTACAGTAAGTACTCAACTGTGACCTGTATATGGGGAGGGTGATGTACAGTACGTACTAAACTGTAAACTAGGGGCTCATTGTTCACTAACCTTTGCCATCTAGCGACCAACTCAGCTAACAGTTATTGTATGCAGATGACGGCTGCTCTATGTTGGCGTCTAGCCCATACCGTGACTCGACCTACCCAACAATCAGCTGACATAACCACATATTGCCACACTGACATAACCACATACCGACATAGCCACACACTGAAATAACCACATATAGCCACACACTGACATAACCACATATTGCCACACTGACATAACCACACACTGACATAACCACATATTGCCACACTGAAATAACCACATATAGCCACACACTGACATAACCACACACTTCCACACACTGACCTAGCCACACACTGAAATAACCACATATAGCCACACACTGACATAACCACATATTGCCACACTGACATAACCACATATTGCCACACTGAAATAACCACATATTGCCACACTGACATAACCACACACTGAAATAACCACACACTTCCACTCACTGACCTAGCCACACACTTCCACACACTGACATAACCACACACTGAAATAACCACACACTTCCACACACTGACCTAGCCACGCAGTGCCACACGAGATCCCTTAGCTCCAGAACGTGAGAACCATTTCCGGCAAGTTGTGCAATAAAATAGATCCCCCGTGTTTTATGACCAGAGTCTAAGTGCCCTTAAGGACGGATGTATATATACACCATTTCAACTGTCACTTCAGCCACTCGGGCTATAAATTCTGATTGACCCGCGTTATTGGGACTTACTAGTGTGGGGCTTTGTATGTGTGGGGGCTTTACTAGTGTGGGGGTTTGTGAGGGCTTTACTATTGGGGACTTTACTAGTGGGGGCTTTGTGTGTGTGGGGGGCTTTACTAGTGTGGGGGTTTGTGCTTTACTAGTGTGGGGCTATACTAGCGGGGGCTTTACTTGTGCGGGCTTTAGTCGTGTGGGGCTTTACTTGCGAGGACCTCCCCCGTGACATCCCTGATCGAAAGGCGGAAGCTGTGCACATCTGACTCGCTTACTGTCCAGTCTTTGTACTTTCATCTGCTCTCATTCGCCTAACTAAAATGTAGCATGGACAATTAAAAGGGAAACAACTGCCGAGTGATTCTATTTTTACTTCTGAACTTGTCAATACGTGTAATCTCTCCCAGCTTTATGTATGGGGCAGTGTTTGTGGTAATTAAATGTTCCATACTTGGTCACATGGAAGTGTTAATCCCATAAGATAACGATTAGAAAGGATTACGACACAAAACATAATTAGATATCAATACATGAACTAGCAGGGGTTGTTGTGGGGAGATGGGTGGAGGTGGAGAACGCAATCAACGCTGACGTCATCACGTGTACGAGACAACACACTTATTGACGTCAGTAAATCCTCGTCGTTCGAGATGTTTCACGCTTAAGGTTAAGTTTGCGATGGTGTCCGTCTCTAGGATGTCGTCATGTCTAGGTTTTTCCGTGTTTTCTGTGTCATTGTGTATGTGGTGCCATTTCTGTGACGTCATGTGATTGACTCAATGTTAGTGACGTCTTGTCTGCCTGTGCTGAGACCTAAGACAAAAGGCTGCTGTACAGTGTGGTGTTGTGAAGAAGTGGCCGTGTGATTGATGCTCCACCATGTTGTCGAGTGATGTAGAGACCGCGAGAAGATTGAGAGCAACTGTCTCACGGCTGTTGAGTAACTCACGCGTCTTACCGCTCACGACAGTTGCTTGTGTTTGGTTTTCATTTACCGCCTTCAAGTAAAAAAACAATGTTCCCAGTGTTGGCCCCAGTGTCACCTGGAGGGGGTGTGTGGACCACAGAGACATCCAGCTGTAATTGGTTTTAAACCTGAGCTCATTTACTCACATCAATCTTCATTATCTTTTTTTTTTAAAGCACGCAGATATATATATATATATATATATATATATATATATATATATATATATATATATATATATATATATATATATATGTTTGTGTACGTATATATAAGTTAGGATCATTGTAGAGATGGTGCAGTTCAATAGGTGGCCCAAATACAAAACAACAATATTCTATAGATCGAGACAGTGGCCCAAATATAAGACACTGTCTACAGAACGAGACAAAACCGGATTTCCTACCGACCTGACAAAGAAAGCATCAAAAAAGTGTTAGGATATCAACTTTGCTACCAGTGGGGAACCTAGCTCCTGCTACTCGCTACATTTTGATTAGGCTACCTCTAACCCTTGCAACAGGAAATGTAAGAAATCAACGATGAATAATCCAAACTGGAAATTGGTAGTGACTAATTGATTCCCTCCCTTCAACGTCTCGCTCGCCCAAACACGGAAATAACAGTCGAGACTAACTTGGATTATTTAATACACGCTTCTGTTGGGCCAGATTTGTGGCCAGCTGAGAGTAGATGTTGTAGAGCGGAGATCTACTGTGGATGGTATGTGTAGATGTTATTGTTGTACATTTTGTTTTCGTCCGATAGACTGTTAGGGAAATTTCTCCGGTATTTTTCAGCACCGTGGGATATAGAGTGTGTAATGAATTGATGTGATCCCAATAACATTAGCGGAGAGATGTAGCATATGCCCAGCTCAGCGCTTTTAAACCTGTCACCAACACTCTTTTATTTCTTACAGTTCAAGTCCCGTAGGGGACCAAGTGGGGGGGGGGGGGTGAAAATGAAATAAAAAGACGAGTGAGGCTGTAATAGATTAACAGACTCAAGGTCCTGCTACAGTGAACATTGTGCTCACAGATGCTGTGGGGGGGGGGGGGGGTGATACATGTATCTATTGTATTTTATCAGACACCGTTGTATACATTTAGCAGAGGTTCTAGTGTTGTTTTGCAGACGTTTTTGCTGCAGTTGGAGGTGATGGTTACAATCATATCTTATAAAAGTTCCAATCGATAACTCACCAGAACCCTTATGTAAGATGTCTTCTCTCTCTGTACACCACTCATACTTGTGTTATGTGGGTATAGCCGCAGTGTAGCGGGCAACTTTCCTCTGTGGGGTATCTAGTCGGTTTCAGGCCACACCAATTGACACGAGCGTGCCTCGGCTCTAATGACTGGTGGGGGGGGGGGGGGGGGGGGGGGGAGACGTGATCAGCGCCTCTCCCACACCCAGAAATTTTATCCAAATAATTAAATGGAGCAATCTGAGTAGCCCATGTCGTAAGTTAGAACAGTCCGTGCTTGGTGTAGCCCTGTAGCCCATGTGATGTAGCCCATGTGATGTAGCTAGTGCTGGGTGTAGCCCATGTTCTAGTGTAGCCCATGTAATGTAGCTATGTAGCCAGTGTTGGAGTGTAGCCCATGTATTGTAGCTAGTGCAGTGGTGTAGCCCATGTTGTAGTGTAGCCCATGTATTGTAGCTATGTAGCAAGTGTTGGGATGTAGCCCATGTATTGTAGCTAGTGCTGGGTGTAGCCCATGTTGTGGTGTAGCCCATGTAATGTAGCCAGTGCTGGGGTGTAGCCCATATTGTTGTGTGGCACTGTACCCCAAACTATAGTGTATAAACTAATTATTTCCTTGTATCTGATGCTGTGGTGAAGTGTGTATCTGATAGTGCAGTGTGTATCTGTAGTGTAGAACAGAGCACCATATTGCAATGTTTGCTGCCGACAGAAGATGATGAAAATGTCAAGTCCCAGCTCCAGTAAATAAGACGCGGACCGTCAAGAGGTGTAGGGTGTCGGTACACAAACACGTGGAGCACAGGGGATCTCAAACTATGTTGCTCTAACATTTAAACGTACCCGACACCAGGCCAGGGTAAACCTTGCGGCAGTTCCACAGGTGGATTGTGGGGGAGGGGTGTGAGGGTGTGTGTGAGTGAGGGACCGCACGTGAGAACAGCTGTAGGAAATGAGCAGAAATGAGAGAGAATAAAACGTGTATAAGTTTGCTCTAGCTGTGGCCCGTACTAGCGTACTGTTTCTAGCGCCTGGCTCACAGTGCCTCGTCTGTAATGGTGTGGACACCACAGTACCCAGTTAGTGATTGTGTAGACACCACAGTGCCCTGTCTATGATGGTGTAGACACCACAGTGCCCTGTCTATGATGGTGTGGACACCACCGTGCCCTGTCTATGATGGTGTGGACACCACCGTGCCCTGTCTATGATGGTGTGGACACCACAGTGCCCCGTCTATGATGGCGTGGACACCACCGTGCCCCGCCTATGATGGTGTAGACACCACCGTGCCCAGTTAGTGATTCTCTTGACAGCACTTGCCAGCCAATGATTGTTTAGACACCGGAGTACCCAATCAGTGATTGTTTAGGCACAGGGCACCCAATCAATGATTGGAGAATTCAGTAAATAATTGTTGGTATAGGAAACCCAACCCACCGCACGTTAAATCAGTGTATATAACACAGTCAGTCCACTCACAGATAGTCTTAACCAAAGCACAGACATCTATTAAAAATCTAGGCTCTCTTAATTCGCCTCTCTCTCTCTCTCTCTCCTTTCTGCAACCCGACGTCTCCATAATACTAAAACATTGAGCATAAACTGCATTCTTACTAGCTGCCCTAACTACCCAGACATTTGGTTCGAAACTACCATCCTTATAGCTGACCTAATAGACAGGACTTTATTTAGCTGTGATGCTCCAACTTTCCCGGAGAATGAGTGTGTGTGTGTGATGTCACGTGATGACGTGCTATGAGCGCCCTGTTTACGACCCACCCAGGCGCCAGTGGTCCATTCAATACGTGATAAAATCGTAGCTGAGGACGGGGAAAAAACCACTGGGCCCTAAAAAACTACCATCATACTTTTGTTCACTTGTAATGTAACACTAAAGTAAACATGATAAAAATGAATATAACAACAAATGAAGTTTGTGTATTTCGTTAGTTTTACACTTGGTTAATTTTTCTTAAAAAGTGGCTTAAATATTAATTTGACCCAGATGAAGGTATTTAGCCATTACAGCCAATTCTAAATCATTGCTTCCTATCAGAATAGAACATTTTCCGTTCCGTTGTGACCTTGATGTTTTCCGTTCCGTTGTGACCCTGATGTTTTCAGTTCCGTTGTGACCCTGATGTTTTCCATTGTGACCCCGATGTTTTCCGTTGTGACCCTGATGTTTTCCGTTGTGACCCTGATGTTTTCCGTTGTGACCCTGATGTTTTCCGTTGTGACCCTGATGTTTTCCGTTGTGACCCTGATGTTTTCCGTTGTGACCCTGATGTTTTCCGTTGTGATCCTGATGTTTTCTTGTCCAGGAAATCCTGTCCAGATCGGGACGGCGACAGTGACCGTGATTGTGAAGGATGTGAATGACCACACCCCCAAGTTTGACAGCAACGGGCCGTACCTGGCCAACGTGATGGAGAACATGCCAGCTGGGACGTCGGTCATCACTGTGGCAGCCTCCGACTCAGACGAGGGCATCAACTCCAACATTGTGTAAGTCGTCTCTAGGTGAAGGGGGACAGGGCTGTACACCCTGGGAATAGGTCTGTACACATTAGGGACAGGGCTGTACACCCTGGGGACAGGGCTCCATCCCTGGGGGACAGGGCTCAACCCCTGGGGACAGGGCTCAACCCCTGGGGACAGGGCTCAACCCCCGGGGACAGGGCTCCATCCCTGGGGACAGGGCTAAACCCCTGGGGTTAGGTGTGTTGTAAGTTATCTCTAGGGCTGTGTACCCCAATCTGGGGACAAGACTGTTTTTACCATCCTTACAGGTGACCCCTGTCCAAAGGATCTCTCCCTCCTACCCTAGGTACAGGTCTCTTTTTAACCCTCCCACTCCCCTGGCTAAAAAGACCCCCCCCTCTTTACCCTGGTTACTAGTGGGTCAATTCTGTTAACTGTTGTAACAAGTTAATTTATGATTCAATTTATCCATTATAATTATGGGAAGTTATTTTTTTGTGAGTGTTAACTTTGCCTAGTTTAGACTATAAAGTATATATTTAACTAAAGGAAGTGTGTAATGATCTGGTTCATTTAGTCTTTCATGCAGGTTAATTAAAGTATCTCTAAATTTATGTTGACAGCTACACGCTGGCAGACAGCATGGGCAGCAGGTTCAGCATTAACCCCAGCACAGCTCTGATCACAACCACAGCTTCACTGGACAGGGAGCTGGAGACCATGTACACACTGACCGTCATAGCCACAGACCAGGGCATCCCCCCACGCTCCGCAGCCGTACAGGTCATTGCTATGGTGGGGGACGACAACGACCACGCCCCTGAGTTTGGTACCAGCACCTACACGGCTACCATGTATGATCCAGCCAATGCAGGTAGGATACAGTTGCTAGTCCAGTTTCAGACATTACACTGGTCAAACATAGTATAGTTTGTTTTATAGCATAATTTTGTCACATAACTTGGATTGAACATACTGGTTTTACCTTCTGTTTTCATATGAGTGCTTACATCAGGGGTCATATCATATCTTTTCCAGGTGATTTTGTCATAGGTGTAACAGCTGTTGACCAGGACATAGGTAACAATGGTAAGGTGGTGTACACCCTGGAGGGACCCAACCAAAATCTTTTCCTCATGGATGGGGAGACAGGTGTGGTTACCATGAGGTCAGCACTTACAACGACAGGCAACGTGGTCAGTTTTCTTGTCAGAGCCACGGATCAGGTGAGTTGCTCAGGTTCTCTAACGCTTGCATGGTGCTACACCCTAATTTATTTCAGTGACCACTCAAGCTTAGCGAAAATAAATCAAATTAATTTTACTTAATTATGGTGACTCATTAATAATAAATAGTGGAACACATGGACTTGACTGGTTAAACTACACACAATATAAGATTAATCTCAAACCTACACCCTGCAACAAAATTTCAGTCAATATCAATTACTTCCAGCTTTACATTCCTGTATAATTAAAAGAACTTAAGTAAGCCGAAGATGCAATGTTTATCTGTAGAAATGACTTTGTTGTTGTAGGGCAAACCATCACTGAACAGCTCAGCCTCTGTGTCTGTCACTCTCTCCAAATCTGCAACATCAACGCGACCTGTCTTCAAGGACTTCAGCTCCAATTTGAACATCAGTGAAAACTCTGAGGCGGGAGTTTTTCTGACCACAGTCCAGGCGACATCGACATCCAACAGTCGTGTGACCTACCACATAGCTGGTGGTAACGTCAACAATGGATTCACCATCAACTCTGAGACAGGGGGCATTAGTGTTGCTGGGAGAATTGATTATGAAGTCACCACTAAGTAAGTGGGAATTATTGTAGTTCTACCAATCAAAAGTTAGTTCACTTGTGTTTACAGACCACCTCATTTGACTGACTGACCACCTCACCTGACTGACTACCTCACCTGACTACCTTACTGTACATGACTGATGACTTCACTACACCTGAGTGACCACCTCACCACACATGACTGACTGACTACCTCACCTAACTGACCACCTCACCACACCTGACTGACCACCTCACTACACCTGACTGACCACCTCACCACACAATACTGACCACCTCACCAGACCTGACTGACCACCTCCCTACACCTGAGTGACCACCTCACCACACATGACAGACCACCTCCCTACACCTGAATGACCACCTCACTACACCTGACTGACCACCTCACCACACATGACTGACCACCTCACCACACCTGAGTGACCACCTCCCTACACCACACCTGAATGACCACCTCACCACACCTGAGTGACCACCTCCCTACACCACACCTGACTGACCACCTCACCACACATGACTGACCACCTCACCACACATGACTGACCACCTCACCACACATGACTGACCACCTCACCACACCTGAGTGACCACCTCACCACACATGACTGACCACCTCACCACACATGACTGACCACCTCACCACACCTGAGTGACCACCTCACCACACATGACTGACCACCTCCCTACACCTGACTGACCACCTCACCACACATGACTGACCACCTCACTACACCTGACTGACCACCTCACCACACATGACTGACCACCTCACCACACATAACTGACCACCTCACCACACATGACTGACCACCTCACCACACATGACTGACCACCTCACCACACATGACTGACCACCTCACTACACCTGACTGACCACCTCCCTACACCTGAATGACCACCTCACCACACCTAACTGACCACCTCACCACACCTGACTGACCACCTCCCTACACCTGACTGACCACCTCACCACACCTGAGTGACCACCTCCCCACACATGACTGACCACCTCCCTACACCTGAATGACCACCTCACCACACATAACTGACCACCTCACCACACCTGACTGACCACCTCACCACACATGACTGACCACCTCACCACACCTAACTGACCACCTCACCACACATGACTGACCACCTCCCTACACCTGAATGACCACCTCACCACACCTAACTGACCACCTCACCACACCTGACTGACCACCTCACCACACATGACTGACCACCTAACCACACATGACTGACCACCTCACCACACATGACTGACCACCTCACCACACATGACTGACCACCTCACCACACATGACTGACCACCTCACCACACCTGAATGACCACCTCACCACACATGACTGACCACCTCACCACACATGACTGACCACCTCCCTACACCACACCTGAATGACCACCTCACCACACCTGAGTGACCACCTCACCACACATGACTGACCACCTCACCACACCTGAGTGACCACCTCCCTACACCACACCTGAATGACCACCTCACCACACCTGAGTGACCACCTCCCCACACATGACTGACCACCTCCCTACACCTGAATGACCACCTCACCACACATGACTGACCACCTCACCACACATAACTGACCACCTCACTACACCTGACTGACCACCTCACCACACATGACTGACCACCTCACCACACATGACTGACCACCTCACTACACATGACTGACCACCTCCCTACACCTGAGTGACCACCTCACCACACATGACTGACCACCTCACCACACATAACTGACCACCTCACCACACATAACTGACCACCTCACCACACATGACTGACCACCTCACCACACATGACTGACCACCTCACCACACATGACTGACCACCTCACCACACCTGAGTGACCACCTCCCTACACCACACCTGAATGACCACCTCACCACACCTGAGTGACCACCTCACCACACATGACTGACCACCTCACTACACATGACTGACCACCTCACCACACATGACTGACCACCTCACCACACATGACTGACCACCTCACCACACATGACTGACCACCTCACCACACATGACTGACCACCTCACCACACCTGACTGACCACCTCACCACACATGACTGACCACCTCACCACACATGACTGACCACCTCACCACACATGACTGACCACCTCACCACACATGACTGACCACCTCACCACACCTGAGTGACCACCTCACCACACATGACTGACCACCTCACCACACCTGAATGACCACCTCACCACACCTGAATGACCACCTCACCACACATGACTGACCACCTCACTACACCTGACTGACCACCTCACCACACATGACTGACCACCTCACCACACATGACTGACCACCTCACCACACATGACTGACCACCTCACCACACATGACTGACCACCTCACCAAACATGACTGACCACCTCACCACACATGACTGACCACCTCCCTACACCACACCTGAATGACCACCTCACCACACCTGAGTGACCACCTCACCACACATGACTGACCACCTCACCACACATGACTGACCACCTCACCACACATGACTGACCACCTCACCACACCTGACTGACCACCTCACCACACCTGAGTGACCACCTCACCACACATGACTGACCACCTCACCACACCTGAGTGACCACCTCACCACACATGACTGACCACCTCACCACACATGACTGACCACCTCACCACACATGACTGACCACCTCACCACACCTGACTGACCACCTCACCACACCTGAGTGACCACCTCCCTACACCACACCTGAATGACCACCTCACCACACATGACTGACCAGCTCACCACACATGACTGACCACCTCACCACACATGACTGACCACCTCACCACACCTGACTGACCACCTCACCACACCTGAGTGACCACCTCACCACACATGACTGACCACCTCACCACACCTGAGTGACCACCTCACCACACATGACTGACCACCTCACCACACATGACTGACCACCTCACCACACATGACTGACCACCTCACCACACCTGACTGACCACCTCACCACACCTGAGTGACCACCTCCCTACACCACACCTGAATGACCACCTCACCACACCTGAGTGACCACCTCCCCACACATGACTGACCACCTCACCACACATGACTGACCACCTCACCACACATGACTGACCACCTCACCACACCTGACTGACCACCTCACCACACCTGACTGACCACCTCCCCACACATGACTGACCACCTCCCTACAGCTGAATGACCACCTCACCACACCTGACTGACCACCTCACCACACATGACTGACCACCTCACCACACATGACTGACCACCTCACCACACATGACTGACCACCTCACCACACATGACTGACCACCTAACCACACATGACTGACCACCTCACCACACATGACTGACCACCTCACCACACATGACTGACCACCTCACCACACCTGAATGACCACCTCACCACACATGACTGACCACCTCACCACACATGACTGACCACCTCACCACACATGACTGACCACCTCACCACACATGACTGACCACCTAACCACACATGACTGACCACCTAACCACACATGACTGACCACCTCACCACACATGACTGACCACCTCACCACACCTGAATGACCACCTCACCACACCTGAATGACCACCTCACCACACATGACTGACCACCTCACCACACATGACTGACCACCTCACCACACATAACTGACCACCTCACCACACATGACTGACCACCTCACTACACATAACTGACCACCTCCCTACACCTGAGTGACCAAGTATTTGTCTGACCTAAAGGTTCAAGCTGTGGCTGGAGGCCAGAGATCAGACACAATTGTCCACCTTCAAAAGACTGGACATAGCTGTGTTGGATCAGAATGACAACTGGCCCACCTTCTCCTCGGCTCTGTACACAGCCTCAGTGCTAGAGAATTGTGCTGTTGGCACCTCTGTTTTCACTGTAAGTCTTAAGCCTTCTTTTACTTGGTATCATTATAAGTCTAAGTCTTTATTTACTTTGTTTTACTAGATTTCATCTTGCCTACATATGTGTTTACTGTAAAACCTTTTACTTGCTAAATCATCTTCTAAGACCTGTTTTCTCTGTTTCATCTTGCTTATGTGTGTGTTTACTGTCGAACTTGTTACTTGCTAAATCATCTTCTAAGACCTGTTTTCTCTGTTTCATCTTGCTTATGTGTGTGTTGACTGTCAAACTTGTTACTTGCAGGTGGTAGCAACTGATCTAGACTCTGGCCTCAACAAACAAATAGTTTACAGGCTCAAGAATGGGAATGAGAACAACACATTTGCACTAAACACTACCAGTGGTCAGTTGTCCACCCTGAACAGGGTGGTGGACAGGGAGAAGATAGCCCTCTATAACCTGGAGATTGAGGCGGCAGACATGGTGAGCTGGCCTGGTGTGCAGGGCTGTTTGTCTTCTTTACTTTCCTAGATCAGGGCTGTTTGTCTTCTTTACTTTCCTAGATCAGGGCTATTTGTCTTCTTTACTTTCCTAGATCAGATTTGGCTGGGTGAAGATTGATTTAATCAATAAAATTTTTATCTGTCCAGGGTGTGCCCAGTAACACAGCATCTACCACGGTGCGTGTCACCATTCTTGATGTGAACGACAACGAGCCAAAGTTTGTGGGGCCCAGGAGTGCCGCTGTACCAGAGGACCTCCCCGTGGGCTCACTCATCCTCCAGCTGAGCACCAGTGACCTTGACATTGGTGACAATGCCAAGGCTGTGTATGGATATGACAACACTGAGGGCTTCCCTTTTGTTGTTGACACCCAGACTGGGAAGATCACCAACAAGCAGGCGTTGGACGCTGAGCTGCAGGACAAGTACACCTTCATTGTCAGCGTCTCTGACGGATCATTTGTCCAGAAGACATCCCTGAATATCCGGGTCCTGGATGTAAACGACAACCCGCCCAGGTTCCGCGACTCTGTCATGGTGTTCAACCTGACGGAGCTCCAGCCTCCCAGCACGCGGGTCACCCAGCTGACCGCCCTTGACCAGGACAAGTCCAGCCCAAACAATAAATATTTCTTCTCCCTGAGACGCCCCTCCTCCCTGTTTGAACTGAACCCTGAGACTGGGGATATCACAGCACTGGAGAGCATGCGCTTCTACGGGGGTCAGCCCAGCATGGACACCATGAACGAACACGTGCTGGACGTTCTGGTCACTGACCTCGGCATCCCGTCTCTCTCCTCTGAGGCCACTGTGTACATCAGGATTATAGATGCCAACGACCACTCCCCCGTCTTTGTCAAAAGTTCCTACTTCTCAGCTGTGCCTGTGGACATCCAACCTGCGCAGATTGTCCTGCGTGTCACAGCTAAAGATGACATGGACTACGGCAGGAACGCCGAGGTTGTCTACTCCATAGTGGATGGCTCAGGTGTGCCCTACTTCACCATCAACACCACCACGGGTGAGATCTTCTCCAGCGCCTCTCTCACTGGCAACGTCAGCAAGAAGCTGACACTGACTGTACGGGCTAGTGACCGCGGGCTGCCAGTCATGTCCACGACCATAGATGTCCAGTTTGAGGTCACCGACCCCAATGTCAACGCACCTCGGTTTAACAGCAACCCTTTCACCAAGCAAGTTTTGGAAAGTGTCCCCATTGGTTTTATCATCGACACCATCACAGCAACAGACAGTGACTCAGGCCTGAATGGAGAGGTCCAGTACTTCATCACCAGCGGCAACAATGGCTCACTGTTTGCCATCAACCCAGACAGCGGGAGGCTGACCGTAGAGCAGCCACTGGACTACGAGACACAGACCTCCTACACTGTAACCCTGACAGCCAGGGACAAGGCTCTCTTCAGCAAGGAGGTTTCCCGTGACTACCTGATCACGCTGCTGGACGTCAACGACAACAAACCCGTCTTTGACCAGGACTACTATGATGCTTACGTCCAAGAGAACAACGCTGCCCAGACGTACGTCTTCACTTTATCAGCTTCAGATGCGGACACCAGTGCCATCAATAAAATCATACGCTACTCCATAGTTGGAGACGCCAGCTCCAAATCTTTCTTCCAGATAGACAACCAGACGGGGGTCATCAACACAGGCAACTCAATGTTTGATTATGAAACCAGAAACCTCTTCACACTGCTGGTCATGGCTTACAACCCTGACCCTGGCAACAGTGAGGCATCAATCCTTAAGTCAGTGACCACAGTGTACGTCCACATTACAGGGGTCAATGAAGACAGCCCCCATTTTATCCAGAAGTCCTACAGCTTCCAGGTCAGTGAGTCAGCTGAGATGGGGACGTCTGTTGGGCGGGTGACCGCGCTAGACAAGGACCACGGCATAGACGGGGTTGTCTACTACTATCTGGAGGCCCAGAGCAACCTGCAGGGCTTCACCATGGAGCCCCTCACTGGTGTGCTCAAAGTCTCCAAGAGGCCGGACTACGAGACGTCCCCCAGCATCTTGTTGACTGTCATAGCCAAAAACTGGGGGAGTGTGCGGGGTAATGACACCGACACCTGCACCATCAACATCACTGTCATTGACGCTAACGACCCGCCAGAATTTTCTCAGGCTGTCTACCACGCCAATGTTACTGAGAACTCCCCTGGGTAAGTAGTCTAATGATCTAACTGTACCAGTGTTCCAACACCCACCTCCACTTTATCAACTATCCATGAAACCAATAGATCAATATTTTCTTTCTTCATACACCTGCCTGTTTAAATGGGATCAGTTCATGTATTGACCTTGACCTTACAGACACACCCTGGTGACCTATGTGTCAGCTGTGGACCGTGACCTGCTGCCAGAGAACAGGCTGTTCAAGTTTGTCATCCTGAGCGGCAACGTGCCAGAGAGGTTCTCCATCAGCCAGATGGGTTCAGCGGGTAGCCAGGCGGGTCAGCTGGGCAAGATAGAGACGTCAGGCCTAGGTGTGCTGGACAGGGAGACAACTGCCAAGTACTCACTGGTCATTGGTGCTCTTGACCTCAATACACCCTCCATTCAAGGTAAGCTGTTGACCTCAATACACCCTCCATTCAAGGTAAGCTGTTGGAAGTAATGTCCTGTTCAGTTGATTCCAAACTACCTTTTATTCTAAGTAAACACTGTAACTGTCAGTTAATTGTAAAACAGTAAGCTTAAATTTTCATTCAATGTTCTAGGGAGATAACCTTCTTACCCAGGGTAAACTGGGCCAGGAAGGGGCACAATTGTTCTATTGGTGACTGAAATATGGGCACAGCTTAAGAATAGAAACAGAAATTTGGCAGAAGATAGATCAGAAAAAAACATTTAACTATTTAGCTTACAAATTTTACCACATTAAATTGAGGAGTTGTTTGTTGTGTTGACCAGGTACATCAACTGTGGAGATTGAGTTGTTGGACGTGAATGACAACGCCCCTAGATTCAACCCACAGAACCTGAAGGCCAACGTGTCAGAGAACGAAACAGCTGGGGTGGAGGTGATCACACTCAGGGACTACACCATCGACGCTGACATCCCACCCAACCAGGGGCCCTACAGGTACAAGATGAAAGACGGGGCTTGGAGTGAGTACTTCTCCATGAATGAGTTGACAGGCAGGGTGGAGACACTCAAGGCTTTAAACAGAGACATCAGCCCCCAGTTTGTCATACCAGTTGTGGTCACTGACAATGGCATCCCTACCATGACATCCACCCTGACCTTCACTGTCGTGGTCAGTGACATCAACAACTCTCAGCCCAAGCCTCGACCTCTGCAGGTGCTGGTCACTGTGATGGAGAACCAGTTCCTGTCTGGTAAAATAGCTGACGTCAGGCCGCTGGACTCTGACACGTCAGACAAGTACACGTGTACCATCCTGAGTGGGGACGCAGCGCACTTTGTCATCAACAAGGGCTGCGACCTGGAGGCGGTCAGCCTGGGCCCAGAGCTCTACAAGCTGAAGATCAAAGGCTGGGACGACAAGTTCTCCCCCGTACAGTACGACGTCTCCATCCTGGTGCAGGCCATCGGCAACACTTCCCTGGCCAACTCGGTGGCCACCGTCCTGGCCAATGAGAAAGCTTCAACATTCCTGGAGAAAAAGTTCTCCCTCTTTAAAACACGGGTACAAGAAGCTTTTGGCGCCTTCTTCACCTGCAATGTCTTCAACCTTCAGGAGACTGGCTCTGACTTGCGGGTCATGATGTACATCTACGACAGCAGCAAGAGGTTTCTCAGCACCAACGACATCCAGCGCGGGCTGGCGGCCGCTAAAGCTGCCATAGAGGCCAGCGTTGATGTCAGCATCAAGACCATCACAGAGAACAAATGTGGGGTCAACCCTTGTAAAAATGGCGGCAGCTGCTCGACGCTGGTTGTAGCTGTACCTGAGGTGTCAATCAGTGACTCACCTGCGCTGGTGCTGACCTCAGTGGACACCTACCTGGACACGTCTTGCACCTGTATGCCAGCCTTCACTGGCGCCTACTGCGAGCAGAGCCAGCAGCCTTGTGGGGGGGACTACTGCTATCATGGAGGTACCTGCTTCAACAACACCTGCAGGTGTCCTGACACCTGGCAGGGGACCTACTGTCAGCTGGACGTCAACGAATGCCTGAGGACGTCCTTGTGTAAAAATGGCGCCACCTGCCACAACATAGACGGAGGGTTTGAGTGCATCTGTCCCGTGGGGTACCAGGGCAAGTACTGTGACAGCCAGAACTTCTGCACCAGCAAGCCTTGCTCCAGCCACGGCACCTGTGAGGAGCAGCTGGACTCGTTCCAGTGTGTTTGTGACTACGGCTACTACGGCCCACTCTGCCAGTTCTCCAGCATGTCCTTCCAGGGCGGGTCCTACGCCCAGTTCAAGCCAGTGGACAGCTACCACATCTTTAACCTGACCATTTACTTCGCCACTGTGGACAACAACTCTCTGCTGGTCTTTAGCCCAGTCACCATTGGGGAGGTCAGTCAAGGCTTTCTGGCTGTGGAGGTCATAGCTGGCAAGGTCAAGGTCTCCTTCCTGCTGGACCCGTGGGTCAGCAACCAGACGCCCAGGGTGTTGGTCCTGTCCACCACAGGGTCAGTGAACACAGGCTACTGGTACAGGCTGGAGCTGACCAAAGTCTTGTGGGTGAGTACTCTAAGCTTAGTTCAGCTATTGCCATCAACAATAGCTAGGTTAAAACCAGATCTAGAACAGGAGTCAGAGGTTGGGGAGATGAGTAAACCAGTGCATACAAAATAATGTTATAGAAAACAAAATCACTTTAAAATTAATAATGTAGGTCCAAAAAAAACTTGATAAAACTAACACAGGAAACCATTACAAACACAAATCTCTTGTAATATAATATACGCTTGACTGTATTGCCAAATTGAAAATTTACATTTTCTTAAATTTTGACAGCCATGAAATAAGTATCAACAAAAAAAAAACTGAAATAAGCCTACTAGTTTCAATAAGTTTTCTTCAATTGAGTTTATAAAATTTGGACCTTACTTTTGTATCTTGCAAATAAAATAGGTTTTAATTTATATATCAAGAAATAATTAGATTTAAAGTTTAGACATGCAGGGTAAAACAATAAATAAATTATATGTATATATATATACATATATATGTACATACATATTTATATATACACATATATATATATTAAAGGGGCTCCAAAAAAGGTTTTTGCAGGGGGACCCGGAGCCTCTTTTTCTAGTTCTGCTGCTGATCTGAATCATACAATGTCAAGGGTTACAGTTAATATTAAGGTCAGGTTAGAGTAGAGAAGAACATGCGTCATGTTCCAGTGGTTTTATCTGTTGCCATGTTTGTTTTCTTCAGACGGCCACCTTGATAGTCCAGAGGTGTACCAACTTGACATGTGACAGCTGTGTGGACAAGAGGAGAGAGTGTTACCACGAGATGGATTATATATCAGAGTGAGTTGATTAGCCACATTAGCAGCAGTCATCTAACCACACTATCATCAGTCATTTAACTACACTATCAGCAGTCATTTAACCCCACTATCAGCAGTCATTTAACCACAGTATCAGCAGTCATTTAACCACAGTATCAGTCAAAAGCCATTTTATTTTAAGAGCTTTGCAATAGAAAAATTGTATCATTGGCAAATTTTTTCTTCATTGCCTCTGCATATGTAAGCATTAGAACCTTTTTTTGTTTGGTTCAAAAACTCCAATTTGGCAACTCAGAAATCATTTGTTTTTCCCAGCAATCGACCAGTCCAGGGTCAGTACATCAGCATTGGGGGTGTGAAAAACTTTGCTGATGTGACAGATCTGAAGGGGCTTGTCAAGACTCACGACTTCACCGGCTGCATCCACAGCGTCACCATCAACAGCAAATCTTTTGGGCTGAGCCCAGGGGGGAGCAGCGCGGAGAACGTGCCGGTGGATGTGAACAACGTCACAGACACCTGCCCCAGGAAACAGGCTGGCAGCCCATGCTTGAGCTCACCTGGGTGCTACAACAATGGCGTCTGTCTGGACAAGTGGTCACACGCTGCCTGCCAGTGTTCTAACACATACATGGATGACCTCTGTCTCATCAGTGAGTTTTACATTGATAACTAGATTCTAGGCTAGTTCAGGGAGTTTTACATTGATAACTAGATTCTAGGCTAGATCATTGAGTTTTACATTGATAACTAGATTCTAGGCTAGATCAGTGAGTTTTACATTGATAACTAGATTCTAGGCTAGTTCAGGGAGTTTTACATTGATAACTAGATTCTAGGCTAGATCAGTGAGTTTTACATTGATAACTAGATTCTAGGCTAGTTCAGTGAGTTTTACATTGATAACTAGATTCTAGGCTAGTTCAGGGAGTTTTACATTGATAACTAGATTCTAGGCTAGTTCAGGGAGTTTTACATTAATAAGTAGATTCTAGGCTAGATCAGTGAGTTTTACATTGATAACTAGATTCTAGGCTAGATCATTGAGTTTTACATTGATAACTAGATTCTAGGCTAGATCATTGAGTTTTACATTGATAACTAGATTCTAGGCTAGTTCAGGGAGTTTTACATTGATAACTAGATTCTAGGCTAGATCAGTGAGTTTTACATTGATAACTAGATTCTAGGCTAGATCATTGAGTTTTACATTGATAACTAGATTCTAGGCTAGATCAGTGAGTTTTACATTGATAACTAGATTCTAGGCTAGTTCAGGGAGTTTTACATTGATAACTAGATTCTAGGCTAGATCATTGAGTTTTACATTGATAACTAGATTCTACCACAGGGTAGCCAGTTTTATGACTTACTGATTTAATGTCAAATCTAGCTGATAAATTCTTATGTCCTACCTAGTCAAATTTCAATGTTTTACATGTGGTCTGTGTACCTAGTCAACTTTCAATGTTTTACATGTGGTCTTTGAACAATGTTTCCACTAAGGGGAAAAATATGTGCAACATATATTTTGTGTGCGCGGTATTCTAAAAGTCTTATTTAAGGATTTTACAAAATGACTGCGCAGCAGTTAAAAACTACTGCCTGGCCGTGCAACTTAGAGGGAACATAGTCTGTGTACGTCAACTATCAATGTGTTTCATGTATCTGGTCTGGGTACATAGTCAACTTTCAAAGTTTTATATGTGGTCTGTGTACCTAATCAACTTTTATGTTTTACATGTGGCCTGTGTACCTAGTCAACTTTATGTTTTACATGTGGTCTGTGTACCAAGTCAACTCTCAATGTTTTACATGTGGTCTGTGTCCCCAGCTATCAAAGTGTTTCATGTATCTTGTCTGTGTCCCCAGCTATCAAAGTGTTTGATGTATCTTGTCTGTGTCCCCAGCTATCAAAGTGTTTCATGTATCTTGTCTGTGTCCCCAGCTATCAAAGTGTTTGATGTATCTTGTCTGTGTCCCCAGCTATCAAAGTGTTTCATGTATCTTGTCTGTGTCCCCAGCTATCAAAGTGTTTGATGTATCTTGTCTGTGTCCCCAGCTATCAAAGTGTTTGATGTATCTTGTCTGTGTCCCCAGCTATCAAAGTGTTTCATGTATCTTGTCTGTGTCCCCAACTATCAAAGTGTTTGATGTATCTTGTCTGTGTCCCCAGCTATCAAAGTGTTTCATGTATCTTGTCTGTGTCCCCAACTATCAAAGTGTTTCATGTATCTTGTCTGTGTCCCCAGCTATCAAAGTGTTTGATGTATCTTGTCTGTGTACCTAGTCAACTCTCAAAGTGTTTCATGTATCTTGTCTGTGTCCCCAGCTATCAAAGTGTTTCATGTGTCTTGTCTGTGTCCCCAGCTATCAAAGTGTTTCATGTGTCTTGTCTGTGTCCCCAGCTATCAAAGTGTTTCATGTATCTTGTCTGTGTCCCCAGCTATCAAAGTGTTTCATGTATCTTGTCTGTGTCCCCAACTCTCAAAGTGTTTCATGTATCTTGTCTGTGTCCCTAGCTATCAAAGTGTTTCATGTATCTTGTCTGTGTCCCCAGCTATCAAAGTGTTTCATGTATCTTGTCTGTGTCCCCAGCTATCAAAGTGTTTGATGTATCTTGTCTGTGTCCCCAGCTATCAAAGTGTTTCATGTATCTTGTCTGTGTCCCCAGCTATCAAAGTGTTTCATGTATCTTGTCTGTGTCCCCAACTCTCAAAGTGTTTGATGTATCTTGTCTGTGTCCCCAGCTATCAAAGTGTTTGATGTATCTTGTCTGTGTCCCCAGAGAGACAACCTTTCAGCTTTGGCAGCAACTCTGTAGTCAGGTACAGCTTATTGCCTAGTTACCTCAGGGAGGCCATGCTGACGGCCATAAGCTCTAGCAGACGCAGACGGGCCATTGGGGACTCTACGCTGGCGCTGAGGTTCAGGACACTGGAGACTGAGGGTGTTTTGTTCAAGGCAGCCACGAGTGTCTACACATGTGTGCTCTGGGTAGGTTACACCCCTCCCCCCCCCCCAGTAACCTGACAGTGTGTTTAAATTTACATCCGCATTCCTTGCTACCATGTCACCACCATCTTCAAATAACTTGATGTTGATTTCATCAGCTATGGGAGGAGTGTTCAACATTTTCTATGTAAGATTGTGATTCAAGATTTGAATGAATCACCAGTGTCCTCAAACTTGTACCTATTTATCTGAACTTGCCACCATTGTACTATAACTTCTCTAATTTTGATTTTAGTTCAGTGAAGGTCAAGTTTACTTCATGGTCAAGGACACCAATGAGGTCACAGACCCTCTGTCTGTAGCGGCCAGTAAAATCAGTGATGGGCTGTGGCACAATGTGACGGTCACTGCTTTGACCACCGGCTACTCTATGCTGTTTGATGACACTGTCTCTGGCCTGATGCCACAGAGCCCAACCTTCAACTTTGACACGCTTGACCTTGTCGAGATGTCACTAGGTGGACAAGCAGTGGTCAAAGATAACAAACAGATCAAAGGTAACAATCTAATCATCTCCATGTCACTCCTTCAATTAGCCACTTGTTAATTAGATCATCTGATTGTCAGTATCTTATCTCATTTTTTGTTCTTGTTTCACCAGGATTCTCTGGCTGTTTGTCTCATCATTTTGTGTTCTTGTTTCACCAGGTTTCTCTGGCTGTTTGTCTCAGTTTCTGATCAATGGAGAGTTGCAGCCCTTGAATGGCACCAGTGACAAATACAACATCAGCTCAGCAGGTGGAGTAGAGGGGAGCTGCAGCGCGCTGTGTGCCAACAACCCATGTGGTGGCAGCAACAAGTGCGTGCCAGACGGGGAGCTCTACCAGTGCCTGCTCATGGCCCAGTCCGCTGGACTTGAGACCGGCATCATTGTGGTCATCGTCTTCTTCGCCGTCCTGCTCATCGCCATCATTGTTGTTTTTGTCCTGTTCCGTGTGAGACGGGACCTGTTCCACAGATGTGTCCGCAACAAAAAAGAAAATGGTAGCATGAGTGACGGCTCCAATGGGAAGCCCAACATCAGCATTGACAACATCATCGGGACGGGGGGTATGAATGGCTCCAGCTCCCGCTACTCCCTGAACCCCAGTGAGGAGGAAATGATCATCAGGAACCACATAGCTGAGAACCTGGCGGGCCAGAAGGCTCTGACTGCCAGGCCTGATTTGATTGGCTCAAACTTCTCTCCCCAGCCCTTCCAGCTCTCTGATGGCACTGTCATCATGGAGACTGGCCTCATGCTGCCTGACGAGGACGCACCTGAGCATTATGATTTTGAGAACGCCAGCAGTATTGCCCCCTCTGATATAGCACCCTCGGAAATGATACGTCACTACAGGGACTTCCGCAATGGTACACACCACCACCATCATCACCACCACCACCATCACCAGCAGCCTCATGCGTTGAACAGTGGCTTGTTAAATAAGTACAGAGACAACAGCCTGGTTATTGCCCCTGGTATCCGCCAGAGCCCCATTTCTTTAACAGGCTCGGCGCTGTCCGTTCCCGCCACGGGCACCCAGCCAATGGTCCCCAATGGCCGGCCCAGCTCTGCTCTGGCTGCTCTCAACCATTCAGAAGGTAACCGCACGCTGACTCAGCTCAATGTCCGCAGCCCACATAACTACACCCTGAACCCCAGTCGCAGTAGCTCGCTGGGCAGTCACCACAGCCACAGTTCTAGCTCGTCTGCTACAGGGCCTCCCAGCGGCGTCATCGCACCATTCACACACAAACCTATCAATAATAAATTCAGAAATCGACCAGTTCCTAAAGGATTAACTGTAGAAGATGTAAATAGATTGAACGCTCGCCCAGATATGCTGGTTGACCCGGTCAGTATGATGGACGTTGTGTCATCGTCTGTGGACGGTCGGCCCAGAGCCAACATCAAATATCACAAGCCGGCTCATGAGCAAGACAACAGCCTGCTGCTTGAGCCGCCAGACTCGAGCTCCTCTGACAGCGGAGCCAACGACTCATTCACGTGTTCAGAGTTTGAATATGAGAATGATAATCCCAGGACTAGACTTGACCTTGACCCAGGTCAAATGATATTTTCTAAATTGACAGAAGTTGAGAATGAAACAGACGACCTGACGCCCCTCCACCAAAAATCTGGCGTAGATGGTGTATCAAGGACCCCTGAGATTCTGCCATTTACCAACCAGTATGACTTTGATGCGCTGCTCAACTGGGGCCCCAAGTTTGATAAGTTGGTGGGGGTGTTCAGGGACATTGCTCAGCTGCCAGATACAGGACAGAGGATTGAAGGGGCGGGGGATCATGACTATGAGGAGTACGTTTAGCCTGAGGGTCTAATCAAAGTGTTTGTGATATGCAGGAGTAATTTGTCTATTTGTTACATACAACTTTTTTATTGTAAAGATAAATTCCATTGTTTTAGAGTAAATTGTTAATTAAGGAGAGTTGTAAGTTAAAAGCATAATCAAAAGCTTCCATTTGTCAATCATATTTCAATGTACATGGTTGTTTTCATTAGATTTCTTACTGGAATGAGATTTCTTTGGACTAATACATTTGTGTTTTACTTTCTCAACTTTATGTGATCAATCACCTCAATACCTCCCTCAACACAGCTGTTTACCACCCCTTGACTTTTGGTGTGTGTTGCTTCCCTTACCATCAGAATTTTTAATAAACATTCATCTCCATTATCTGTCTAGCATTGGTCCATTACTACACAATTATTAAAATAGCTGTCTAGACTTGCCTAAGGAAACATTAGATTGTCACATGACTTGTCTAACCAATGAAATAGAATCTTATTATACATTGACAACGCCATTTAGAAGTTAGTTTTTTTGTAAAAGTTATAGATACTTATCTGATGGATATTTTCTCTTTCATGTTGTTTTTTTGTGTCAAAATATGTCCCCTGGGTAATAACTGTTTCAATGACTTCATGAAAACTGGTTGAAACAATTTGTGACAACAGATTTTTTCTTGTATGTCAAATGTCACTGCAACATTGTTTGCCCATTGTTTGAACAAGTTTTACTATTTAGAAAGCTGCGCTGTAATTGTTGTTCTTGTGTTAATATTAATTTTTGCCTTTTGTAAAGGCTTCAAGAGAGTGTGTATGGTGCAGCTTTTGGCTAAGTGTGTGTGTATGTAGCAAATGTATGGCTGTATAATGTGTACATTATAATGACATCTGACAGATGATATTTTATGCAATTTTCTTCAAGTTTTGTAATCTGTTCTACACATTCCTTTTGTTAAGGCAACATAAATCGCTTTCTTTGTTTTACATACCATTTCAATGTTGCATGCATTGGGGTTTTGTATTGTTTTAAGAAAAAACTTTATTTATACTTCATTTTATAAATTTTTAAAACAATGTACATTAGTACTATTTGTACGAAAAACTAAAAAGTTATACTAAAAAATGTTCCTTTTCCCTACACATTGGACTGGTAAAAAAATAGAGTTGATCACTGTATTCAGTTACTAATTGAATGACTTAGTATAATAAAAGCTTGTTGGAGATGGTGTAATGCTGAAGCTAGGGTATGACACCATCCACACAGTACTAAGACAACCACCTCCACAATACCTACATGAAACTGTTGCTTCACATCAACTAGTAGAAAGTTTTTTCTAAACACCCAAACCACATGTAGATTTTACTTCTGCAATTACATAATCAAATTTTGAGTCATTATTTACAAATATTTGTCAGTAAATAAAGTTAGTTAAGTGCATTTAGTAAAATCATGTTTAGTTTTAAGTGAAGCTGTTAGAGACATAATATCAATGGTCATCATAATCATTTTGTGTGGCCTTAAAATACCTTGACCACACCCTGCCTGTCCCATCAGTAGACCCTATTCTGGCTAATGTACTTAGATGCTCTTTATTTTTCTAGTGTTTATATATATTTTTACAAACCACGAACAAATCAGTTTCACATGTATAGTCCACCTGCACCAAGTGGAGTTATTTCCATTAACCATCATCCAAGTCTCTCAACTTGAACAAACTTTAGGCTGTTATTGGTATACAAGTTGCAAGTGGACTTCTGGTACATTGTTTATTTAACTTGTGCACTGTCTATGCCAAGTTTTCATTTAGTTTTAACTAAAATTACCTATTTTATAATGATTTATTTGATCTAGATGATCATTTAGATAAGAATTTTCTTTCCTGATGTAAATATTATAAAGATGAACTTCATTTTTAATGTTGATTCTTTTGTTTAAGGTTGCCTTGGCAACAAAAGATGGCCAGAACTGATATTGTAATAATTTTTTTATGCCAAATAAGATTGTCTTGATCCTTTTTTTAAAAATACAATCAATGAACAATAAATCTTTAAACAAAACTGTGTTGTGTACTTGACTTTACAGTGTGACTATTCATTAGTTGATCATTATAGTAACTGTCTTATAGTTTGTTTTAATGTGGTGACCTGTCCGTGATGACAGTTTACAGACGACAAAGATAAGATCAAGCAGAACTTGTTACTTCCCCTTAGTTTCAAAAACTAAATTATCACTAATTTGACCCAGCTCTATGAGTGAACATTGAGCATAAACCACAGCTCACCTGACTAGTAGGGGTGGGGGTGATAGCGGGTCTGTTTCGCATGCCTGGAGGAGGGTTAGATAGTCGTTGTGTCCACGAAGTTAATTATATGTATAGATATTTATTGAAAGTAACATAAAGCTGTTCACCTAAAAATTAAACAGACAGATGATTTACATAAGTAGATTTATTTTAAAGCATTTGGCTAACAAGATATTGTTCCGTGGATTGAATTAGATAATTTTTTTAAAACATCAAAATTTTTCATCAGATTTCAAAATTTAATGGTTAATTTGTCAAAAAAAGAAAGTTGAACTGGATTTACTTTTAAGTCCAGCCTCTACTACAGAGTTTAACTGGGTCACTGATTCCAGATATATGGGGAACACAAGATAATTTTGAGATGGATACACGGGAGAGAAATTACTACAATCTAAAATCCTATTGGCCGTCGAAACTGTTTCTTGTAATATGTTGGTGCAATGAGCCATTCAAGGGAAGCCACTAAATCACATACTCAGCTATTTGCTGAGACTTTAGTAAGTATCTAATGAGAAGGTCAAGGGGAGATCAGTAGGCCTATACACAAAGACAGAACAGATGGAAGCTACACTGCTTTAGTTAAAGGAATTGTCCAACATAGATTTTTAATTTCTAAAAAATTAATTTGTTTTTCTTCATAACTTAAGCTCTATGTTAAAAGTAAACTTCTTAAAAAACGCACAGAACACAGTCTTGCCCCCTCCCCCCCCCTTCCCATATATATGTTACAGCCAAAGCTAACCTGCCCCTGCTTTGTGAACTGTCAGGCCTGTTGCAATATAGCTGAGGCATTTGGCCAATGTGTATTTCTAACATAAGCCAGCCACTTCACAAACTATCCAAAGTAGGTTTTGATGTAATGTGTTTTAATTATACTGGCAGGGTTTTATAAAAAATATAACATTTAGCTCACCCCCATCCCATAAACATTGTATAGCTTTTGTATAGACCTGCCAGCCCCACAGAAATCCTGTCACACCTGCACAATCATTGACAGTCAGCTATGGCAACACACATGGCACAACCAATAGCTCAACAAATCACTGCAAATATAGACTACTGTGTAATTCAAAATGTCATAAATGTGATCATAGAGATTGATTATAGGCTTGAAAAGTCTATGTAATCATACCAATTTTTTTTTTAAAATCTTTTTAAAAATATGGCAAGGGATAAAATTATAGTTACATTTGTAAAAATAAAAGGTGTTTGGGAACCAATGATTACACTCATTTGCATATTTTTGTGTTAAACATTTAAAAAAAAAACGCCCTCAACCTCTCCTTGAAGTAAACCAGGGAAAGTAAAACTATGATAGTTACAAAAATTGTTTTACATGATAACATACACAAGAGCTGTCAATGGGGGATACCCTAGTAGTTTATTTATATTAAGAATATAACATCCCCAATCACCACAACACCCTGACTCTACTAATCCAAATTAAAAATAAAAGTGTTAACTAAATGACTATTATATTACTAGTATATTTTTTTTGTTTGAACATTTCTAGCCTTAATAAAACCGCAAGTCATTTTGTACTTACTTCACAAATGGTATAAAATGTTCAATTTTGGTTGAAAAATATGCTTTCTTGCAACAACCATTTGGAACCAGCTATTCAAGCCTATTTACTACAATATAATTATTTGACTGGTTTTATAATTTACTTTAATTAATCATCCATATATCCCTAATTAATTATCATTAAGGTATCATCATCATCATCATTCCTTTGTTGCCCCTGGGGCGCAAAGGGCTGCAACCAAACATCTCCACCGGACTCAGTTTTGGGCTGCCCCCTTTATCTGTGCCCATGTGAGCCCAGCTGTTTTCGCCTCTTCTTCAACCGTTCTTCTCCATGTCTTCCTTGGCCGGCCCACCCTCCTTTTTCCCTGGGGATTCCATTCCAAAGCATGTTTTGCGATGTTTTCTTTTTCTTTCATTTACGGGCCTTAAGGTATTAAGGTATACAAACACCAAAATGTGCTCATAATAATAATTGTATTGTTCTTTGGCCGGTTACAAACTGGCTAGCCAATGCCCGAAGTCAAGAAAAGTTTTGAATGTTGTAGTTTGTCTTAAGTGAGCTGATATTGGAGAATTGGCCGACTTCAAGTTTTGGTTGTAATATATAGGCTTTTATCTATATGTGTGTATACAGCCACACACACATACAATTGTCAAACAACTGAAAGTCTGGTTTATTGGAAGGAAAACCATTATTTCCAATTTCATCATTGGGTGAAGAATAGTGAAGACATTTGACAACACCTGCCTTCTTACATGTTTTTAATGAAATTTAATGTAAAATAAAAAAGAAATAATAAAATAATTGAAAATAGACCTATGTAATATTCTTTATTTTATCAACACTATTAAATATATTAATATAAAAATAGCAAACTACTAGGCTAGAATCTAGAATCATTCATTTAGATTAATCTAGAGCTAGGCCTATACTACTATATTATACTATTACTACTATATTAGTATATAATAGTATACTATATATATATTATATCAATTATATAATATATGGCCAATGTCTATCTAATATCTATAGGTCCTATATTATATTTATAATTAATAGGCCTAATTATAATAAAATATGATTATTGGAGCCTAGTAAGTAGTTAGGCCCCTATTGGTTTTAAATATTATAAATAAAGTCTACAAACAGTTATACTCCATTAATATAAGTATAAGCCATTATAAGCCTATTACTGTATTAAATTAGATTGTAGATCTTGAAAAAGAATACAGGAACTTGCATTTTCTTAATGAATTACATTTTTGAGTAATACAACTTTTTAAAATTCGGTAATTAGTGTGACCTTTTTTTTTTTTTTAATGGAGACAACTGCTTAATAGATATACATTAATATACAACATTAGTAGATCAATCAATTTATTTAGGACATTGAATGCTATATCGATCTAGATCTAATAGTGAATAATTCATCAATGTTTTTATTCACCACGCGCTACTACTCCTCGATTTTTGCCTAAATTTTCAACCAGCCGATTTTTAAAGTTAACTACTAGATCTATAGAATTACAGGCTTAACATTAAATCAGTAGCTGCTCATTGGTCATAGTAAATCACAAAAACAAAATATTAGTGCAAAACGCATATTTTTGTTGTTGTTGATCTTCGTTTAAATTTGTTAATTATAATAAATGACTATAGTATAGCTCTAGAATGAGCGAAATAAATATTAATAACCATTACTATTATAATAACCAACTACGACCGAATAGTAGTAATAGTAATAAATCATTTTACTTTGAAATTAGCTTTCCTTTGGTAATATCTATATGTTGCGTTTTGCCTTTGGCTGCTCTATTTTTCTGTATTGTTTGGAGTCTGACTTTTGATTTTTATGAAACTACATCAACAATATGCCATGGCAAGGAGAATGTGAGTATAACACAGAAACAACTAGTCTAGAAATTCCATCAAAAAACCTTCCTCCCTCTCATCTATATTGTATTATTGAATTGTAGACATACATAGTAGTTTCCAAAAGTATTAAGTTCAGATCCTGGGCACAAGTCCATAGGACGTCCCTGAGTACACCCAGCTTTGAAGGGTACCTGACTCACATTAGGGAAAGTAAATGGTGGCTGGGTATAGTGTTCACCATGCTATCCGTCATATGCTGAGGTCACAGAAACAGGTAAACTCTATTTCATCTTCCCCATGAAGGCCAGGTTCAAATGGGTAACTTTACTCTTGACAGTGGTTTCCACATATTATAAATTTAAACTGTAACATGCACATATATAGTTGGATTTTTGTAAAAATAACTGTTGGTTACTCTCAAAATCTTTTCAATATAGGCCTACCTACATTGTGAAACCATTTTAATTTTTACCAATATAAATATAAACTTATTTTATAACTAAAAAATGTAATTCATTTTCTAATTTGGGCATTGAAAAGCTTGTTTTTATAATGTTTTTATCCTTTTTTTTTCATTTAAAAAAAAATTTGTTTTTATGAACTAGTAGTATAAATAATGTGAATGGAAAAATAAAGCTTTATATTTTAACGTTTTTCAAATTTAAAGATAAAATCATTATAAAAATTTGGTTGATCTGCCTTCCTATACCTATTGCTCAAAATGTATTGAAACAATTCTTGTTAAAGTCTAAATAATTTTTGACAGGTGAAGAATTATTTTCCGTCTGTGAGTGTTGCGACGGGCCTCCTGACCCCCCAGAGATACATCTGGAGGTTTGCCATTGCCGTACACCTTACCCCCAGGTTTCTCATAGCTTACGGCTACTACACCACACACCAGCTCATTGTTCATGGGAGAAACAAGAGGCGACTCTCCGCTCTAGCCTGTACCTCACACATGGTAGAGATTTTCAGCCTTGCTGGTCTCAGCTTCATTTCATCAACTGAAAATTTTGGTAAACTATTGGACGGACAAGTTTTATTTTGATTGTAATGGACCAGCATATTGTCAAATGTCTATTGACTTTAAATTGAGACATTTTTTTATGGGTCTAATTTGAGTCTGATCATTTTTTAAATTTGTTTTTTTTTTCTTCTACAGAGATGCACAAATATTGCTTTATCTCATTCATGTTGAGTGCTACTATCCACATGATCACACTGTGCTTCCTATACTATCTGGGTTCTAGGGGAGACAAACTGAAAGATGTAAGACCCTTTTTCTCAGTTGTCAGGTTGAAGTATTTTATTTTGAAAGTTGTATTGAAAGTTGGACCAATGTTCAGTGACAGTGACAGGTGTAGTTTTGTATTTTCAGAGGTGCTTTCAATTTATTTTCAGTTTCCATTGTCGTTAAAACTTAAACTTGCCATTCTGGTGGTCAACTTACTTGCTTTCTGCATGGCCCTGTGGTTCTATGATAGACATAACACACATTGTGAAGATGGGGGTAAGTAAAGTTTTTTGGTTCTATGATAGACATAACACACATTGTGAAGATGGGGGTAAGTAAAGTTTTTTGGTTCTATGATAGACATAACACACATTGTGAAGATGGGGGTAAGTAAAGTTTTAGATAGTGTTAACTCCTTATATTCTTATTTGTCATATTCTTTTTTTGTTTTACAATTTGAAGGTAAGTTAAAGCTTCTACTTGTTAACACGTTTATCTATTCAGTTTTTTTATTTTATTTTTTTAAAGTTGGATGTAAAGTTTGAGAAAAATGATTAATTTTTAATAAAAATTAAAGTTTAAAAAAAAAAAAATCTGTTGTAACATCTAATAAATTTTTTTATTTATTTCAACAGTGTACAGTTTGTTTGGGATTTGTGAAGTGGTTGTCATAGCAACCAATGTTTTCTTCCACTCTACTGCTGTACTGGACTTCCGCTCTTCTCAGATAGCCTTGGTCAGTGCAAGTGTGTAACTGGACTTACGTTCTGCTCAGATAGCCTTGGTCAGTGCAAGTGTGTAATGTTTACCTTGACCAGTATCCAGTAATGTTTACTTACAGCAAACTAGTCTGTGATTGTTTTCTAGCATTCAACATAATTTTTAAAAACTCTGCTGACAATTAAATAAATTCTTGTTGGTGAGTTGCTGTTATATGTAGGTGATGATTGTATACATATTTTACTGAACATGGAGTTTTCTTACAAAAAAAATTAATACTAATTTTTTTATCTTTGTATAAACCATTTCTCATGGTGAGCGTTTTTGTTAAATCTATTTTACTGAATATTTATATTTATGTAATTATTTATATTTATGTAAATAAATTGCTGAACACAACTCCAAAATTTTAAATTTCTGTTTTAAAAAAAATGGAAAAAACATTTCATTTCAACATTCCGAATTTTTTATTTTGTCACACATCAGCTGTAAGTTGATAAACTGAACAAAACAATGGGGGAGAGGGGGGGGGGGCTCACAAGTTAGGGGAGGGGCACACAAGTAAGGGGGGGGGATGAGTTGACATAGGTGACATGAAGGGAGGGGTGGGGATACATTAAAGAGTGTGATGTCAACTACAGCAGTTGACCTCAGTCTGACCAGAGGTACAGTTTGTGCACTAGAAATGTGGACATTATATGTACAGTGTACCCACAGATCACATTTTAGACCAAATGTACGAGGACATTGTTACTGACCAAGCATCACAACAATCTGCTGTAGCCTACACAGTGGACACTGTTACTGACCAAACATCACAACAATCTGCTGTAGCCTACACAGTGGACACAAAAAATTGTCTCTGGACTCCACCAGCCTTACAAGAGCTGAAGATGTGACCTCATAAAAAGCAGGTGATGTTGATGCACACCTGTCCATCTAGTCAACTGACTTCCAGGTAAAAATACATGAGCCAGTAGCAGAGGTTAATGATGCCAAAGGTCAAGGGGAACAGGTACCTGGAGACCATGTCAATGTCACTGACACTGTTGCCAGTCTCAGGGTCAGCTGACTCGGTCCGCTTCTGCCGGTAGGTGGAGCTCCCGATGATGCAGATCCAGAAAGTTAGCAAACACGAGTGGCATCCTGGGAAAACAACAGAAATGGTTCAGGTGGTTGTTTTTAGTCTCACCGCAGGAGACTTACTAGGATCACAAATACCAGAGCGGACACATTCAATTTAAATTGTTATTCCACAGTACGAACAGTGTTTCTTCCAGACTTTTTTCTCCGGGGGGGGGGGGGGGAAGGCGGACACTGTTAAAAGTATTTATTTTCTATATAAATTATATAAATTTCATTTCGTTCGGGGGGGGGGGGGCGGTCAAAAAATTTCGGCGGGGGGGGGGGGGGGGGGAAGAAACTCTGAGTACGAATAATTTAAAAAAAATTTTAATAATAAATAAGCCTTTTATTGTATTTCTCGATTCATTAAAAGTAGTATTTTGTTGAATTACGGTCAAAGGGAAGTAACAAATAAAAATGTCAATATTAGAATATTTTCTAGAGTGATGTCCCTTGAATAAAAAAATCTGTTTTTAATAAAAATAAAAAAAACAATACATATATGTACGGAATTTCTAAAACAGGTAACAGTTTGTTCCAGGCACTTCTTCGGGTGGGGGGGGGGGGGGGCAGACGACATTGAAGAATTCTACTACTTTCCCCCCCCCCCCCCCGAACGAAATAGAATTCATATAGAAATATATACTTTTATCTATAAATATATACTTATCAGTGTCCGCACGCCACCTCCCCTTCCGGAGAAAAAAGTATGAAAGAAAAACAGTTTACAGCAACTTACTTTTACTAGCTGCAACCAGTTTATTTGTCTTGCTAGTTTTTCCATTGTTGATGGTTATCAGGGCTTCACCCTCAGGCAAGGCTGTCTCGTCTTTGGCCATCGTCGCTTTTTTGTTGGCAAACATCTGCAGGTGAAACATGATGCTATATGTATACATGTCTTGTGGCGCTGTATCACCAAAACATGATGCTGTACATACACATGTCTTGTGGCGCTGTATCAGCTAAACATGTTGCTGTACGTATGCATGTGGTATGGTGGTACACCACCTGTACCAAAACCTACATGTATCACTACCTAACTGTATCACCACACCACCTGTACCACCATACCACCTGTATCACCACACCACCTGTAACACCATACCACCTGTATCACCACACAACTGACATCATCAAAACGTACCACATCATCAGCATCATCGTCATCACTATCCAGCCCGCCCTCCTTGGGCATGAGTTTGGTGAAGTAGTTGACAGCGGCGTATTCGATGAAGGCGGCCATCTGGTACAGAATGCACATGTTGAGGAACACGTCCAGGGCTGTGGGGTAGGGCACCCTGGGCAGACCCTCCCTCACCGTCATGCTGATGGCGGCGGTGGTCAGAATGGTCGTCACACCTGCCAGAAGAAATCTTAGTCGTCAGGGGAGATGCCTGAAAGAAACACTGCTCCCGTCACTCACAAAATCAACATGGTGCCCATCCCGTCAGTAGCCACATCCATCCCTTCTGTAGCCGTACTCATCCCTCATCCAGCCACGCCCATTCATCTTGTAGACACGCCTACCCCGATAGAGCCACACCCCAAACTAATGAAGCCACACCCACCTAGGAGAACACGCGCCGGGGCGGCGTCACGGTTGATCCAGAACGAGACCCAGGAGAGACAAACGATGAGGTAACAGGGGACGTAAGTCTGGATGACGTAGAAGCCCACAGCTCGGCTCATGTGGATGTAGACTTGCAGGATGGACAACTCGCCTGGAACATACAACGGTCTTGTTCTAGAACATACAACGGTCTTGTTCTAGAACATAAGCGGTCTGTCAAAGGTTTAGTTCTACAACATACAACGGTCTAGTTCTAGAACATACAGCAGTCTGTCAAAGGTCTAGTTCTACAACATACAACGGTCTAGTTCTAGAACATACAGCGGTATAGTTCTAGAACATACAACGGTCAGTCAACGGTCTAGTTCTTGAACATACAACGGTCAGTCAAAATTCTAGCTCTAGAACATAAGCGGTCAGTCAACGGTCTAGTTCTAGAACTTACAGCGGTCAGTCAACCAAAGTTGCCTATGACGTCATCTTACCAAAGTTGCCTATGACGTCATCTTACCAAAGTTGCCCATGACGTCATCTTACCAAAGTTTCCCATGATGTCATCTTACCAAAGTTTCCCATGACGTCATCTTACCAAAGTTTCCCATGACGTCATCTTACCAAAGTTTCCCATGACGTCATCTTACCAAAGTTGCCCATCTTTGACGTCGTGTGTTGTTCGATACGGCCCAGCTCAAACTGGGACAGCGTGACCCCGGGGTCAATGTCCACCTGGTTCTCCCACCTGTAGACCACCTCGTCTGTCGTGTAGCCGACTGAAACAGAAAGGTCAAGTCTTCTAGCAGGTTCTAGAAGTAATTCTACTGAACATGCTAGGTCGTGCTAGGTCACGTGATGATCCTGTACTGATGCTACAAATGGCCGGTAGACTAGCTTCAAGGGGAAACGATTGGGGTGATATTTACGGGGAGTATGACAAGGGACAATACTCACAGCTGCCGATATAAAGCGGACAGACAACTCTGTCCATTGGGTATCTGGACAACATCATAGGACATCTGGCGTTGATCGTTAGCCTGCAAGACACATCACGACATCAGCAACATAACACACCACATCATCAATATCATAACACACATCACATCATCAATATCATAACACACATCACAACATCAATATCATAACACACATCAATTCATCATAACAGCAAATTCATCAACACTACAAAACTGTATCCACACCCCACAAACGTGCACTCTCACTCACCAATCTGTAGCCACGCCTACCAAGGTGTATTTCCACCAACGTACCTTCACTCATCAACCCGTTGCTCCATCCACCAGTCTGTAGCCACGCCCACCACAATGTGTTTCCGCCCACCCCCACGTAGCCCCACCCACTCACCGTACGGACATGTAGATGCTGCCGTCGTGACTGAGCCGGATGAAAGTGTTGGGGACGGTGATGTTGTGCATCTTGCTGTTCCTGCCGTTGATGAAGTAGCTGTTGGGTTTCCAGATGTTGTTGATGAACTTGTTGCTGAGGGTGAAGCGGGTGATGTTGGGCAGGTAGAAGGACAGCCTCTCATCCTTCCAGCGCTGTCTGAAGTACACCTGCATGGAGTAGGACTGGGAGCGGGGGAGGGGGAGGGGTGGATGGAATCAGCTCGGTTATTTCAAGATCTCCCCACCCACACACACACTCCACACCAGTCACGTGGTGGTACTACTTCCCGTCAAACTCTCACACTCACACACATCTGCCGGTGAACTTTGAATCCAATTTTCACTTCCAGCAGTCAAAAAAGTCTCAGAAAAATGTCGTGGCAAAAGTCTGTCTTTTGCCAGGAAAATACACAGGGAGATAAATAAATAAATATTCGGAGGAAAATCAAAGTCATATGACTTTATTTTCTGTGATTGTATTTTCTGTGGTTTTACAATCTAGCGAGCCCGAGAAACGAGTGACGTCATTATTTAAAAAAAAACTGTGACCGGAAACTTGCCAGATATTCAAGGGCCGGTACTTGGGCTGGTCAGGTTGTCATGGTGATTGACCAAGTAAACAAACAAGACTGACCACACCTTCTATTGACCCTTACACAATCAATCACCCTTGATATAACAGCGCATGTTTTACAGCATTTAAAAAATGAACGAAAACTTAAAAAATCTAGAGGTCCACGTGACATCAAAAATGAAAAGATTGATTGAAAATTGATTTGATGCAAACATCGCTGGGGCAGACTCTCTCATCGGAAAATGTTTAACGCCCTCTTGAGATGTCTCCCGCTTGAGCGAGTTAGTCTCTGGCCTCCAATACTGCCACATTTTCCTCCGTTAGCGACCCCCCCCCCCCCCCAGACCAATATTGCCCCCCTCCCCCACCAGACCAATATTGCCTCCCCCCCCCCACCAAGAAATGTGCTGGTAATTTCTAATCTACAGGGAATTTCAAGCCACAAGTCCTACCCCCACCCAGCCCCACCCAGCCCCACCCCCCACCCCCCACTCGACCACACTCACCCATGCATACATATTGCTGATTTTATCCACCGCTCCGATAATCCAACCACCCCAATCTATCACATTCCATGCCCCGAGTGCCCCAATCAATCACATTCGAAAGTTTGAGTCTCAACGTATCACATTCCAAAGCCTCCGTGACTACCCCTCGCTATCTGGCCCGCCGCCATTTCCTGGGACCTATCTGCCCCATTAGACACATCTTGACGGGCTGAAATGGAAATCAAGTTTTAAATTTTTTTTCAGTCAGTCAAATCACCAACTGGGACTTGAAATGTGGTTCACATTTAAGAATACCAACTCCAGGCGACCTGATGGGGAGGGGTGGGGTGGGGGAGGGGTCTCGTAGGGGGTTAGGAGGGCTGTGTATTCAGATAGTTCTCCATTATGACACATTTCAATATTTGAAACCTAGTCTGTTATGAGCACAAGTGTTCAGGTTGTATGGGGGGGGGGGGGGCGTAGTTTTCAGCAAATATTAGAGGTCAAGGTCACAATTTCAGTCACACAACCAACAAGTAATGGACGCCAAGGTCACAAAGCAGTAAACAAGGTGGGTCAAGGTCATACCGTGTTGTGTTTTTAACTTTTGTGTGAGGCACTAGATTCTAATTGATTGAGTTTGTTACACACTGATTGATTACACATTGATTGCAAGCACACGTACAAATCAACGAAAAAGTTAGAACCCCAAAACCCCCAAGATGCCCCCCCCCAATATGTCACATACAAGATGTCACCCCAAGATGTCACATACAAGATGTCACATACAAGATGTCACATACAAGATGTCACATACAAGATGTCACATACAAGATGTCACCCCCAAGATGTTACCCCCAAGATGTCACCTACAAGATGTCACCTACCATATCGAGTTCTTTGATTGGTCCCATGCTCTTGATCAAAATGTCCGTGTCAATGACCACACGATCACCTGAGGGGGAAGATTACACGTCATCAGATACGTCATCAAACACGTCATCAAACACAAGTAGGCCTAACGATCCATGGGGCAGATGGGTTGAGTTCATGTGTTTCTTGACCTCGGCGTATGATAGTGTGCCCACCAGCATTTACTTTTAACATGGGTCAGGTACTCATCAGAGCTGGGTGGACTCAGGGAAGACCTTCAGACACCGAACCGAAATTCGAACTGGAGACTTTCTGTGTGACGGTCGAGTGCTCTACCACTTGACCGCGCTGTACCATTCACTTAGGACTTACACAAAAATGTCACAAACAAACATATCACCAACACGTCACAAATACGACATTGAGGATTATCCTACCTCAGCATTATGACAATTGTTTTTGAAGACAAAAAGACAAGACTTTAAAATACTTTAAATCTTTCATTATGTAATTCGTGCTCGATATTTTTATATAACACTTGGCCACATCAATAGTGAGGGGAGTAACGATACTCTAACCCAATAAGATTTTCTAACTAAATAACGATACTCTAACCCAATAACGATACTCTAACTAAATAACGATACTCTAACCCAATAACGATACTTTTCCCAAAGTAACCATACTTCAACCCCAAACAGACCAAGTTTGAAAGTATTGATATTGATGTAAGCATTCGTCTCAAAGAAAAGCACCATTAGCTAACCAGACAGTAATCTAACCGAGTGGGTGTTTGAAAGAAAGATTCCAGTCCGAGCACCGTCTCTGGTCGCGACTAAGCTTTTAGTTGTCAATCTTTGTTTACCTCCCTTACCCACCCTACCCCGGCCTTTGACCCCAAGATTTGACCTGAAACTGTCCTCTATTAGTAGATCAAACAGCAGACGACGGGCAGACGAGTCGTTGTTTACCAAAGCCACTTGCATTGATTCCCCGCGAGATCTTGACGTGGACTGGAAGTTGCTCTAGTCTTGTGTTTGCTCATCTCTCCGTGTCTCTACCCTTCTTACACTCCTGCAGCAAATTGGTCGCTGAGATGTAGACTGATCGACCAGAAAATGAAGTGGTCAGTTGTGTGATTTGGTCATTTCCGTGTGATTTGGTCAGTTCCGTGTGATTTGGTCAATGGCGTGATTTGGTCAATGGCGTGATGTGGTGATCGGAAGAGCGGTGGTTCAGACATCCAAACAGAACCATTCCCTTACTCATTCTGTCAACAGTCCTGATTCAACAGAGGCTCACTACTTGGTCGTTTAATTGGTATAGGCAGCTTGGAAGTTCCGCCACTGCCTCAACCCTGACCTACTCCAAGGTCAATCTTTCAACCCTGACCTACTCCAAGGTTTAAACAAGGAACCCTCACCCACACAAGGTCAAGCCTTGACCTATCTGAAGGTCGTACCTCCAATCCCAGGTCTGACCTCCTTCTTGTAGCCGTCCAGCAGGTGGTCCAAAACTTCCGACACGGCTTTTGTTTTCTCCACCTCATAGCAGCAGCACCTGTAACAGGACATTTTACATTTGTAACAGGACATTTTACACATGTAACAGGACATTTTACATTTTACACCTGCAACAGGACATTTTACACCTTTAACAGGACATTTTACATTTGTAACAGGACATTTTACATTTGTAACAGGACATTTTACAGCTGTAACAGGGCATTTTACACATGTAACAGGACATTTTACACCTGTAACAGGACATTTTACATTTGTAACAGGACATTTGACATTTGTAACAGGACATTTTACAGCTGTAACAGGATATTTTACATTTGTAACAGGACATTTTACATTTGTAACAGGACATTTTACACCTGTAACAGGACATTTTACATTTGTAACAGGACATTTTACACCTGTAACAGGACATTTTACATTTGTAACAGGACATTTTACATTTGTAACAGGACATTTTACAGCTGTAACAGGACATTTTACATTTGTAACAGGACATTTTACACCTGTAACAGGACATTTTACATTTGTAACAGGACATTTTACATTTGTAACAGGACATTTTACAGCTGTAACAGGACATTTTACATTTGTAACAGGACATTTTACATTTGTAACAGGACATTTTACACCTGTAACAGGACATTTTACAGCTGTAACAGAACATTTTACACCTGTAACAGGACATTTTACACCTGTAACAGGACATTTTACAGCTGTAACACAGGACATTTTACACCTGTAACACAGGACATTTTACATTTGTAACACAGGAAATTTTACACCTGTAACAGGACATTTTACATTTGTAACACAGGACATTTTACATTTTGTAACACATGACATTTTACATTTTGTAACACATGACATTTTACACATGTAACGTGTAACAGATGACTGAGAAAGATTTAAATAAGAAAGTTCCAGCAACTTCCATGAAATAGGATCAACCCAAGTGTCAGGGGGGAGGGGTATGGTGTGTTTGTGTGAGTGTTTAGATGTGTGCGTGTGGTTATCCCTCACACTTGTACTGACAAGCAACTTGACCACGATTTGTTAGTGTCGTGAATAGAGTCGGCAACTTGACCACGATTTGTTAGTGTCGTGAATAGAGTCGGCAACTTGACCACGATTTGTTAGTGTCGTGAATAGAGTCGGCAACTTGACCACGATTTGTTAGTGTCGTGAATAGAGTCGGCAACTTGACCACGATTTGTTAGTGTCGTGAATAGAGTCGGCAACTTGACCACGATTTGTTTTGAACCTAATGAAATCCTTGGTCGCCCCCCCCCCCACCCAGTCGCCCCTCTCCCTCTACACACACACGTCCAGTGAGCTTATATTTTCACGTCACTTCTCACGGTAATATGTTAACATCCCCGTATTTTAACATTCTCTGTTAACATTCATGTATTTTAACATTCTCTGCTAACATCCTTCAATTCGCAGTTCTGTTCCCATTTCACAGCTAGAAAAAGGGAAGACACAAAAAAGTCAACATTCACTTGTGTCTGTTAAAACTACTTCCGGTTTTGGTTTCAAGTGCTTCCCGTCCAGCTCCCTGGCGACCCCCCCCCCCCCCTGCTGTGGGAGGGATTAAATTAGAAACAGCATCCGGTCCCTTTCTTCTTTTTGATTGGCTGCTCGTCTGGCCCGGAGAGAGCTTGGGTAGTCGATTACCCAGCTTGAACGATGACACACGAGATCGAGTATCGAGTCAAGTATCGAACCAATTAGTTTGACGTCTGCAGCGAAAAATTATTTCCCTTTCCCTGTCCAAAATGTAAATTTAAACGGTAGTTGAAATAACACTTGAAAGTGTAAGTATCGAATACAAGGTATCGTTATCCAAGTATCGTCGGCAAAGTATCGAGTATTGCACGAAAAATGACAGGAATCAGGTGACAGTTCCCGTGGTACTCTGGTGTTGGGGTAATAAAAGAAGACTTTAGAAAGTCTGTCTGTTTGGAATGTCTGTTTCCTCAGCAAATGCGTCCTTGGTACTGTGTTCTTATAAACTGTGACGTTAGCAACTGTGTCCTTATAAACTGTACAGCCATTTTTTGTGGGTTTAGTTATCGTAGTTTTACGCTAAAACTCGAAAACGTCTTAAGTCAAGTTCAAACTTTGGCAGTCATATGACTCGGTAAAAGTCAACAGATAGTGTAATGAACATTCTAGAATATAAATTCACTTTATAAACCATCAAATCAAAAGAGCCCTTAGTACCCAATATGTTAACAAAGAGCCATCGGCCCCACACATTTTTGGGTGAGGAGCCCTCACGGTCTAGTCCCCCACACACGTTAGCTATCCCCCCCCCCAACATACTAGCCCCACACACCTTAAACCGAGCAAAGAACAAAAAGCTTGCATCACTCACACAGCCCAAGGTAAATGTTGGTTGTTGCCTTATTCAAGGATGGCTTATTGATAACTTCTTGTTGTTTTTATCTTTTTACGAACAGCTACTCATAACTTGCACATATCTTTCAGATAATACACAGATATAATTAGCAATCATCAAGTCAATACATGACAATAGCCCAAAGCAAGTCTTGAAAATAGTTCTCAATATTCACGACGTGATAATAGCCTTAAAAAATTCACGACGTGAGAATAGCCTTCAACAATTCACGACGTGAGAATAGCCTTCAACAATTCATGACGTGAGAATAGCCCTCGTGTACCGGAAGTATGGAGAAAACAATATTAGATTCCACCCAGCAGTTTAGAAAAATAAAATTATGGAAATATTGGTCAGTTTATCTTCTAGGGGAGATAAACGAGGAATGTAAATTACAAGAAAATCGTCGGCCTTTTTTTCTTTAGACATGGCGGATGTTTAGGGCAGCTTTACATGCGGATTTTCGTGAAACATTTAACCAATAGTCGGCTTATATCGGGGCCAGTGTTTCTTCCAGACTTTTTCTCCGGGGGGGGGGGGGGCATTTGAAATTTTCGAGGGGGGGGGGGGCGGTCTAAAATTTCCGGGTGGATAGGGGGGGGGGGCGAAAACTGTTAAAAATATTTTTTCTATAGAAATTCCATTTCGTTCGGGGGGGGGGGGGGAGGGGGGGCGGTAGACCTTCTTCAGGCTGTGCCCCCCCCCCCCCCCGAAGAGATGCCTGGAAGAAACTCTGACTGGGGTTCCCATCTTACATTTGACCAAAAACCAGCCAATAGGCTTTGTAGCTTGCAGACGATCGGTGAAAGTCAACTGGTGTGGTCTAACAAAAGTCATGTGGTCTAACATAAGTCATGTGATCTAACATAAGTCATATGGTCTAACATAAGTCATGTGGTCTAACATAAGTCATGTGGTCTAACATAAGTCATGTGGTCTAACAAAAGTCATGTGGTCTAACAAAAGTCATGTGGTCGAACAAAAGTCATGTGGTCTAACATAAGTAATGTGGTCTAACATAAGTCATGTGGTCTAACAAAAGTCATGTGGTCTAACAAAAGTCATGTGGTCTAGTAATAGTCATGTGGTCTAACAAAAGTCATGTGGTCTAACAAAAGTCGAGGTGTCTAGCAAAAGTCATATTGTCTAGCAATAGTCATGTGATCTCGCAAAAGTAGTGTGGTCGAACAAAAGTCATGTGGTCTAACTTAAGTCATGTGGTCTAACATAAGTCATATGGTCTAACAAAAGTCATGTGGTCTAACAAAAGTCATGTGCATTCTACTGAGGGTATCTATTGGTGTGTATAACGTCAGTGTCTATTTGTGTATAACAGGGGTCTCCAAACTACGGCCCGCGGGCCGGATGCGGCCCGTGAAGCCCTCTCATTCGGCCCGCGGAGATGTTTTTGTCCAAGGAAAAAAAACGTTTGTTGGTGATGGCTGAGGAACTTTGCCCAGAGAAATCAAAGACATGCCTGGAAGAAACTGGCCCCCGAACTGAAATTTCATAGTTAATGCGGCCCTCGGGCTGAAAAGTTTGGAGACCCCTGGTGTATAACGTCAGTGTGTATTGGTGTGTATAACCTCAAGGTATATTGGTGTGTATAACGTCAAGGTATATTGGTGTGTATAACGTCAGTGTCTATTGGTGTATAACGTCAGTGTCTATTTGTGTATAACGTCAGTGTCTATTTGTGTGTAAAACGTCAGTGTCTATTTGTGTATAACGTCAGTATCTATTTGTGTATATAACGTCAGTGTCTATTTGTGTATAACGTCAGTATCTATTTGTGTATATAACGTCAGTGTCTATTTGTGTGTATAACGTCAGTGTATTGACAACAAATTTTGTTAAACTAACTCTTCAAACATTGGAGGCAGTGGCGTAGCGAGGTCGGGTGTCACGCGGTGCGGCACTTAATGGTGTCACCCCCCCCCCCAGAGGCGTAGCGACCCTTCCCGGGGACAAACTTTCAAATTTTCGATTTGCACCCCCCCCCTCAAACTTTTGATTTGCAACCCCCCCCCCCAAATTTTTTTTTTCTATATATTTTGCAATTTTTTTGCCTTGGTGTCACCCCCCTAAATGGTGTCACCCAGTGCGGTCCGCACCTCCGCCCCCCCCCCCCCCCTCGCTACGCCCCTGATTGGAGGTAATTTACATCCAAATTGTTTAGCTCTACATAAGCACCTATTGTTACATATAACATCCAAATTGTTTAGCCCTACATAAGCACCTATTGTTACATCGCAGAAATCTGGAACCAATAGACGCTTATTGACACGAACTGGTCCGAGAATGACGTCATAGATACGTCACGATCCAGTGGCAGTCGACAGGAATCACGGCCAGCAGCAGATAAGTGTCTGCGTGCCGTCTGATGGAGTGCTTCAATTTTTGGTCCAAATTTCGGGCCCGTTTTTAGGCCAATTTCCAGACGGCTGTTGATCTAATCCTGGGGAGGGTAAGGGTGAGCTTAGAGCTTAGAGCTCAGCTTCCATTTTGTTTATTCACAATCACGCGGGAAATGGGCATCTTCGGTCAGTTTTGGTCAGCCTTCGGTGTCGATGACTCATCAAGTGAGTTACATTCGTCATAGTAGAGCAACGACCAACTAAGTCACTGAA